TGGGCCCGTTAAAGCCCGTCCGTGAAATAATATTAAATAATTATGCATTTATCTAGAATATGCTATGTAGTTATATCTAGAAATGTTCTAGAAAGTTGATGCTAAAAAGGTTCTAGAGAATTCTATACTAGAGAACTCTTAAGGAGAGTCTAGATTAATTAGAATTTTCTTAGCATTTAATAAGGATCTAGAGTGATCCTCTAGCACCTATAAATAGGACCTTATGTACTCATTTGCAAAACCAAGCAAACCAAGCAACATCAATACAATACTACTTTTACAATAAATAGTACTTCTCTACTCTAAAACACATTCCCTACAATACACCTAACTAAAATCACTTATCCTACTCATACACCTACAATCTCTTCTATTTTCTAACAAATGGTATCAGAGCTTGTTCGATCATAAGCGGGCGTTATGGCGACATCAAACTTCTCGGTATCGACTCCGATGTTCAATGGAGAAAGCTATGACTATTGGAGTGTCCGTATGAAGACTTGTCTAGAATCACATGATCTCTGGGATATTGTTGAAGAAGGAATCGTCATGCCGGAAAAAGGAAGCGACGACACATCAACTTCTGAGGTACGTAAGAAACAAAAGAAGCAAATGCTAGAGCTCTCTATCTTCTTCAACAATCCGTTTGTGATACTATTTTCCCGAGAATAATTCGTGCTACTACGGCAAAAGAAGCTTGGGATATTCTTAAGGAGGATTTTCAAGGAAATGAGAAAGTTAGAACTATTAAATTACAAAGTTTAAGAAGAGAGCTCGAAAATTTAAAGATGAGAGAATCTGAGATGGCAAAAGATTATTTCTCTCGGGTTATACATATAGTCAACGAAATGCGAACTCTTGAAGAAAACATAACCGACGAGAGAATAATCCAGGAGGTCTTCATCAGTCTCCCTGAAAAATATGATCCAGTAGTTTCGGCTATTGAGGAGTCAAAAGATCTATCAAAAGTGTCCATCACTGAATTAATGGGGTCGCTAGAAGCACGTGAACAAAGGCTGAACAGACGACATGAAAGTTCATTAGAAAGTGTCTTCCCGTCTAAGCTCAACATTAAAAGGAATGATTCGAGAAATGGTGGAAACTTTAAACCTCATAAAGATGGGAATTCTAACAACAAGGAGAGGAAGACGAACTTTCCACCATGCAAAATATGCAAGAAGACTAATCACTTAGAGAAAGATTGTTACCATCGAGGAAAGCCACAATGCAGAAATTGCAAGAGGTTCGGGCATGAAGAAAAAGATGGCAGAGATAGAAGAAACTATAAGGCTGACTATTCTGAAGATTTCAACGAGAAAGAGTACATGTTCTACGCATGTCACTCAGCAATAGAAACGAAAGAAAGGTACGTGCTTTGGTGGTACATCGATAGTGGATGCAGCAATCACATGACATCCAACGATACCATCTTCCATGAGTTAGACACCTCTATCAAGACAAAGGTCAAGTTGGGCAATGACAATTTGGTGGAGGCAAAAGGGAAAGGTACCATTGTCATGCATACAAAGAAAGATACGCGCTTTATTAGAAACGTTCTCCTAGTACCATGCTTGGCACAAAATCTACTAAGTGTTGGCCAAATGATGGAAAGTGGATATGCCTTACACTGAGAAAAATTCTTGTCGAATTTATGACAAGAATAATAATCAAGAAATTGCTGAAGTAAAAATGGGAAATAATAGAAACTTTCTCATTCAATGACAATATCCACAAAAGGCGATGGTGGCTCAACTGAGTGATACGAGTCTATGACATCGAAGATTTGGGCACTTCGATCTCAATGCCTTGAGATTACTACACCAAAAGAGGATGATGAGAGACATGCCACTATTGGATGAAAAAGAAAGAGTATGTGAAGGATGTATGGTTGGGAAGTAGCATAGACAACCATTTCCAACAAAGAAAAAATGGAGAGCCAAACAGATACTAGAGCTTGTCCACACCGATGTTTGCGGTCCAATGCGCACGCCTTCAGTTTCGAAGAACAGGTACTTCATACTCTTCATCGATGATTACTCAAGGATGACATGGGTGTATTTCTTTCAAGGAAAATCCAAAGTCTTTAGAATATTCAAGAGATTCAAGAACTTCGTGGAGAAACAGAGTGGTCATCAAATAAAGAACTTGAGAAACGATCGAGGTACTAAGTACAACTCAAAAGAATTTGACAAGTTCTGTGAAGATGAAGGCATGGAGCATCAACTAACAGTAGTATACACTCCACAACAAAATGGCGTATCCGAAAGGAAGAACCACACAGTCATGGAGATGGCATGGTCTATGTTAGCTAAAAAAGGAATGCCTAAAACGTTCTGGGCAGAGGCAGTGTATACTTCAGTCTACCTACTCAATCGATGTCCAGCTAAGGCCGTTCTGAACAAAACACCTATTAAGGCATGGTTGGGACAAAAGCCTTCAGGCAAACATTTAAAGGTGTTTGGAAGCATATGATACATCCACGTTCCATCCGTAAAAAGGCACAAGATAGAAGATAAAGCAGAGAAAGGCATCTTCCTTGGCTACAGTTCTAAATCCAAGGGATATCGAATCTATAATCTCGAGAGAAAGAAGTTGGTGACAAGTCGAGATGTGGAGTTTGACGAGCAAGCTTCTTGGAATTGGGAGACAGAAAAAGTTGAAAGAAAGACAACTACTGCCCAACTAGAGGAAATACCAGAAGAGGAAAATCATGATCAACAAAGCCCCACTTCTACACCAAGATCCTCTTCCGGAGCTAATAGATCAAACGGGCATGACTCCTCACCAGAATCCCCACCCCTTCGGGTAAGAACTCTAGCAGACCTATATGAGTCTACTGACATCTATGAAACATGCAACTTTTGTTCCTTAGAGCCACATAACAAGGAGGATATTGGAGGAGGAGATCAATGGAAAAGAATGGTAGATCTTCCACATAACAAGGAGGATATTGGAGTCAAATGGGTGTATAAAACAAAACTGAACCCTGGTGGCTCAATTCAGAAGCATAAGGCAAGGCTGGTTGCAAAGAGGTATGCTCAAATACCGGGAGTTGACTACACATAGACGTTTGCACCAGTTGCCTGTATGGACACAATAAGAACACTCATAGCTCTTGCAGCTCAGAAGAAATGGAAAATTTATCAGATAGACGTCAAGTCAGCCTTTCTAAATGGAGAGCTAAGAGAAGAAGTGTATGTGTAGCAACCAGAAGGATTCATCAAAGAAGAAAGAAAAGTTCTACGTCTAAAGAAAGTGCTTTACGGGCTCAAACAAGCTCCACGAGCGTGGTATAGCAAGATTGATGGATACTTCACCCGTCAAGGGTTCAGGAGAAGCAAGAACGAGGCTACTCTATACATCAAATCCCAAGGTAAATCTGACATTCTCATCGTCTCTCTATATGTTGATGATTTAATTGTCACGGGAAATAATTGAAAATTAATTGAAGAATTTAAGAGAGACATGATGAACACTTTTGAGATGAGTGACTTGGGATTAATGCACTACTTTCTTGGCATGGAGATAAGTCAAGAAGAAGAAGGTATCTTCTTATCTAGAGACAAATATATTAAAGACATGTTAAAGAAGTTCAAAATGCAAGATTGCAAAGCTGTCGTTACTCCATTGGTTCCTAATGAGAAATTGAAGAAAGAAGATGGGTCAAAGCCAACAGATGCTACCAATTACCGGAGTTTGATTGGGAGTCTACTCTACTTAACGGCTACGAGGGAGGACATAATGTATGCTACAAGCTTGCTCTCAAGGTTCATGGAGAGTCCTACTGAGACTCACTATGGAGCGGTAAAGAGACTCCTTAGGTACCTACAAGGAACCGCCAGTCATGGTATTTGGTACAAAACAAGTTGTGACTCACGACTAACTGGATATAGAGACAGTGATTGGGCTGGATCACAAGATGACATGAAAAGCACCTCCGATTACGCATTTAAGCTGGGTTCGGGAATTTTCTCATGGGGATCAAAGAAGCAAGATTCCGTCGCACTATCATCAGCAGAAGCCAAGTATGTTGCAGCAACCGGAGCAGCTTGCCAAGCTATATGGCTGAAAAGAATATTAGAAGACATGGGAGAATTGCAAAGTTCTGCGACAGAGATATTTTGCGACAAGTCAGCTATTGCGATGAGTAAAAATCTAGTTCAGCACAATCGCACAAAGCACATCGATATCAAGTATCACTTCTTGAGAGATGTCCAAGCAAAGGGGCATATTGAGATGAGGTACTGCCCAACAGAAGAACAATTGGCAGATATTTTCACGAAGGCCCTCTGCCAAGAGACAGATTTCAGTTTCTGCGAAGATTGCTTGGAGTTACCGACAAATGCATCAAGGAGGAGTATTAAATAATGATGCATTTATCTAGAATATGCTATGTAGTTATATCTAGAAATGTTCTAGAAAGTTAATGCTAAAAAAAGGTTCTAGAAAATTCTATACTAGAGAACTCTTAAGGAGAGTCTAGATTAATTAGAAGTAGAATAATCTAGATTCTTAGCATTTAATAAGGATCTAGAATGATTCTCTAGCACCTATAAATAGGACCTTATGTACTCATTTGCAAAACCAAGCAACATCAATACAATACTACTTTTTTAGAGACAAGAGCTCTACTCTAAAACACATCCTCTACACTACACCTAACTAAAATCACTTGTCCTACTCATACACCTACAATCTCTTCTATTTTCTAACAAATAATCTCATTGTCCTTTTATATTTTAAAACCTATTTTCAAATAAAATTAATCAAAAATACAAACCGCAAATAATAACACAAATATTAGTCTCCTAAATCACCAACAATTCAAATCCAAAGAAGATAATTATCTTAATATTTTGTTTAAGATGCATATAAATATATAATATAGGTTTTCTAAAAATATTACTACGTAATAAATAAAAGTTATGGATAAAAATATGACTAGAATTACTACTCAATAATTTAAGATGCATATCAATAATTTTTTTAATATCATGTCCTAGAAGTAGATTTTTGTTCAAAAAGTTGACACTACTCAATTTCAAGGGTTGTCACATTTTTAAGAAGAATCTATTACAAAAGTAATATATTACTCGGTACAATAAAATTAAGGGTTAATTTGAGTTTGTGATCCATTTTATTGTCCAAATTGGACTTTGCACCCCGTTTTTAAAAATCTTTATTTTTTTACCTTAATCCCATATGAAAAGACAAAAATACTCTTGGATTAACAATTCTGTTGATCTTCAACATGTTCTTGATCGAAGGGCATTTTTGCGTATGGGATTGATGAGGTGCAAAACCAAAGATTTTTAAAAAGAGTGCAAAGTTCAATTCGGACACTAAAATGAGGTGAAAACTCAAAATACCCTAAATTTAACGGGCTATGTAGTGCCAAAAATCCTCGTTAAGTGTATACCTACGTACAACACCATTTTAATTGATGAGGTGCTTGCTTGGATGGAGCAGATCAAACTAGATCCCCCAACAGAGTTCCTCACTCAGGTGCATGGCGTTCAAAGAAGGTGTAGTCTTCCGGCCAATACAATTAAGTCTTATGAGGTGTCGTCAATAACATTTGTGACAAACAAGGCTACATACGAACCCTTTGGGCGAAAGAACTCGCCATCATCCGGCCACACCGTATTCAAGTTTCAACTGGGCAGTAGCGCTGATTTCATATCCATGGATGGCTTTCACGGAACTGTTAATCCTTTTGGTCACATCGGAAGCATTGGTGTTTATTTGCAGACAACGATTTCTGCTGCCCGCCCGGATCTCAAGCGGCGCGCTTCATCTTCATGACCTCTAAAATCAGAGAAATTATCCCTTGTATTACTAAAACAACATTTTATGTTATGAGTTCCTAGTTATTATTATTATTCCTATCATATTACTTTAATTAATGGCATGCTTGATTTTAATTCTCCCTTTGTATGCGGCCAATTGATTTGAAGAGATCGAAACAGTTGTGAGGCCATTTATTATGTATCAAGCCAAACCATGTGTTAAGTATATATAGAGTTGTGCTTGGTGTACCCAAAATGAGATACCTCATTTTTATTCCATCCATTGTGTGGTTCAAATTAGACAATCATTTAAATGAATTGATCCATTTCAATGAGTTACCCCATTTGAACCACACAATAGAAGGGAGTAACAATAGATACCTATTTTGGGGTACCTATAGTATTTTTGGTATATACATGGTCATTTTACTGAAAAACCCATGGGTTTTTCTAATATTAAGATATTTCCCCCTAACATTGTTATATAAGTAATATATACGGTGTTTTTCTAAAAACAAATCATACGTAATTTGTAAATCCAATACAAGTGATGAATGATATGATTCATTCAAATGATACTTTATTTTTGTTGTAATATCTCTTTTTCTCACAGTTTCTGTTCTATTAAATGTTTACATTTTTTACTGAGATGAGTTTTGAACATGTGACCTCCGCTTTGGAAGTCATGTGACGGTGATATCATCAAATCACAAGGTGTTTGGCAATTCAGATGCATCCTATGGATGCTACCGCGTCAGTTTAGTTATTCATAAATACATATGCATCCAGTCAAGCCCCATTTTTTAAAAATTATAGGTATAGGTTTATAAAAATTGTTGTTCATCTTGTAATTCATAATTTCAGTACGTCTTTGTAAATTTTAATACGGAGTACATCGATCATAATTTCATATACAAATGATGATGATGATAAATGACACTAATATTGATATTAATGGTAATAGTAATAATAATACTAGTAGTAACAATAATTATAACAAAAATAACAACGACAGCGACAACAGCAATAATAATAATCATAATTATAATCATATATAATTACCAATAGAACCTAGCATTTTCAAAAATCTATTAATTACATTCTAAGTTTTGATCATTCTTACTGTTTGCCCTCTCACGTTTATATTTGTTAAAGTAAATTTAATATAACTCACAAATAAAATTAAAATTATCTACAAAATTTACTTTAAAAGTAAACATCAATTTATTATTGTAATTATAATGCATTGTTGTTGATCATGATTTTTCTACTTATCTACTCTTGAAAAAATATTAATGAGAGTACTTAAGGAAGAAGACTCACACGATACAAGTAACATTCATGAGATACATAAAGATGGTTGTTTAAAGTATGTGTTATCAAAATTCTATGCATTTTTTCATCACGAATATTAAAATCTCATTTGCAATCCACACAGCTAATTATAATTTGCAATCCACACATTTTTCCTTGTGTGTAGGAAAAAAGAAATATCAAGAAGAAAATATGATTTGTAATCATGATCATGAGTTATGTTAACTTATAAAAACATATATTTTAGAAAACTTTCATCATATTGAAGTTAAATGTATTTAATGTTATCCAAAGATGTATATAATGTGAATAATAAAAATTCGAGGGTAAATAATTGATTCTTAAAATGAAAAGAAGAATTAGTAATTTTTATCTAACCGGGGGAAGGGAATAGTAATTATCACTCCATATTATTAAAATTAATGCCTTAAAAGGCACGAAGCTGTGGACTGTGGTCTGTGGGAGGGGATTGGACCAATTTGTTACGTTGACCAAGGGGAGCGCGACTATTCATGCCCTATGACTGTATGTATGTATCGGTTCTCGACGAAACGACAACTGGTCGCTTAAATGCGCCACTTTCCTTTTCACAATCTAAAGTCGCCCTTTTTCAAGTGCCAAGTGTTCTCCCTCGCCGAATTTTTAGGTGCGCCACCACTCGGATCTTCTCTCCCTCCCGCTAATCAGACTCTTAGGTTTTTCTTCTCTGTAATTCCATTGGTTGCCTTTTTGCTTGTGCACTGGACTCAGCCCCTCGTTGTCCGAGGCGGCTAAGCTCATTTTTGCTGATTGGTTGAACAACTCTTTCATTTGGCCATCTGAACTTTCGATTTGCTGCGTTTTTTGTTCCTTCATCTCAGGTTTATTTCTTTAATCGCCGGTAGCAATCGGAGAGTTCCCCCGGGATTGCTTCCGTTCAGGTTCCGATTTCTTCCTGAGATGTACACAGTGTGCGTGTGTGACGAGGGGTGTGTGTTTTTATTGTCACTCTGCAAAAGTTTTTGCTCGAATTGATAACATGCATGTGGGGGTTTGTATAGTTTTATGCTGGAGATCGTTGGACTTGGTAAAAAATCTATTTTGGCATTTTTTTGTTTCCGATCAGATATTAATCGATCTTATTAGATCCTTAGTTGTCTGTGTCTTTAGATCTATTTGAGTTTAGCTTTTCAACATTCTTGCTTTGTGAAACTTTATTGGGTTCCTGAGCTGTTTACTTCTCATTCGAGGCTTACAAGTGTGCTAGTGATTGGTTTTTGTACGGAAAGTTCTGACTGATCCGGATTAACCCAAAATTGCTTCTTTTCGCAAAAGGTCTCTATGCCCTGTTTTTAACCCAAAATTATACTGCGTACTTAAGGATTAAGGAATCAGCTTCAGTCAGTTAGGGAGTTTCAGTAATTAGAGAGTATACACCATCACGAAGTGTAGGATCCATGACTAACCTACTTCAAAAATTTCCACCGAAAACAACTCTGTCCTGTAGAATTTGAGCATAAAAGTTATGCGCAGCATCAATACATGTTTTTGAACTTCCTGATTAAAAGTAACTTGGAATGAAAATCTGGTAATATCAAGTTAAGAGCTATGAGCTATGTAAATGGAATACCATACTTGAGAATAACCAAAGATATTACTCCCTCCCGCCCTTAAAGAACTTCCTATATTCTTTTTTGTGATGTCTTTAAATGAAGTCTTTTTCCTTTCTTGTTAAAGAAATTCTTACTCTACTACCCTTAAGTAATTAATGACTATGGTGTCGGAAAAGGCCAATCAGTGTGCTTTACATTAATTCTTACCCTTGGTAAAAAGAGCAAATCAAAGACAAAATTCTATATCTTAAAAGACCGTGCTAGTCTTGAAAACACTAATCTCTTTTTGAAGCTATTTAAAGAGAATTGTATGAACTGTTTTCCTTCTTTTAACATGCAAGGGAGTTTCCCTTTCTTGTCTTCATATATTCTAAAACAGCTGCTTACCATGCAGAGTTGTAGATAAGTCTTTATCACCCTTGTCTCTATAATGTCATTGTTTTGTGTCCCCAGACCCCCTTCCCCCATTGTGTGGGAGCTTTGGCACTTCACTGGTCTAGATGTCCTGTGACTGCTGTGGTGGAATCAGTTTTTTCTATAAAATGATCTACGATTCAATACTATTCTGCCATTAAACTATCCTTAGTCAATCTAAATGAGTATAATTAGTAGAGTGCTTAGAGGAGATAATTGTTTCATCTCTCTATTGCCCTTTTTAACTACTAGCATTGCTTGAATGGTATTGGACAGGCATTAAAATTTCTTCAGCTTCCCAAGCGAGTGCTCTGAGAGAAAATGGATCAACATGGAAATGGACAACCACCGGGTATGGGGGTGACCACCTCTGGTTCAGTGGCATATGGTGTTCCCTCGTACCAGGCTAACCAAATGACAGTGCCTACATCTGTCGGTCCTATCCAATCTCCGCAAAATCTAGGTCTTCCTGCCTCGTCAACTCAGATGCCACCACACCAACTTGCATATCAGCACATGCATCAACAGCAGCAACAACAGTTGCAGCAACAACTTCAATCTTTCTGGACAAACCAATATCAAGAAATTGAGCAGGTTACTGATTTCAAGAACCATAGCTTGCCGTTGGCTAGGATCAAGAAAATCATGAAGGCCGACGAAGATGTGAGGATGATATCAGCGGAGGCACCTGTTGTTTTTGCACGTGCTTGTGAGATGTTTATCCTTGAATTGACTCTGCGTGCTTGGAGTCACACTGAGGAGAACAAGAGGAGGACACTTCAGAAAAACGATATTGCTGCAGCCATAACAAGGACTGACATCTTTGATTTCTTGGTCGACATTGTGCCACGAGAGGATTTGAAAGATGAAGTGCTGGCTTCAATCCCTAGAGGGACCCTTCCTGTTGGGGCTCCTGCAGAGCTCCCGTATTATTACATGCAAGCGCAATCTGCTCCTCAGGTTGTTGGACCTTCAGGGATGTACATGGGTAAGCCAGTGGATCAATCAACCCCTTATGCACAGCAGCCTCATCCCTATATGGCTCAATCAATATGGCCTCAGCAGCAGCAGCAACCACCATCAGATTCATAACCAGGTGCCAGTAACAAATCAAATGTAAGTGTTTTCACTTTTTTTGCATTGTTGCAGTTGGTTTACCATCCATTTCTCCTTTGCCTATGATCCTTCACCTGCTCTTGTATGCACATCTTTCAATTCCATGACACCTGAAAATCCCATCATCTATTTTATCATACTTGCCAAACAGCACCCTTATCTTTACTCTCGGCTTGTAGCATTATAAACCAAAGAGACTTGTAATTTGATGGCAAGCTAGAGATGTACTTTACAGGGTTGATTTTAGTCAAAATAAGATATTCGTTTGAGAATATACAAATATTTTGATACTAAAAATATAAAACATTGCAATGTACGGAGTATATAATATACTTCTGCTGCTTGACCTGCTTTGGCGTTGCCTGTTTTTTTTCTTTCTTTATGAACACTATTTTAGAAAATAGACTGCAGCAGCATTTTGCTTTGCTCCCATGCTGAAAACTCTCTGTACCAAGTGTGGGTGGAAGAAATGAAACAAGTGCTTGAAGCAGATTTGACTCCATTTCCAACATGTTAAACTAGATATATATTTATGAATTGTCTTTTCTATGCGGCAACTTATCAGCAGCCTTCAAGTTATATGATTTGCGGTGTATATTGTCGCAGTATAGTAATCATACTCTTCTATAACGAACTGCAGAAAATTTCAACATGAACATCTAGTAGCAAAGGAGAACATCATTGAGCAAGCAGGTTGCACAGTAGAAAGATACTACGGGATGGTAGATGAAACACAGCCAGCTTTAAGCTCTTGTTTCTGATGTAGCTCAATCTGCATGAAATGAACTCTATGGTTTCTATGGTGTATACTTTTGACTGACATGTCAAGAAGAATGTTAAGGCTGTCATTATTGTGAGACTGAAGTAATATCAAACCATTAAGCTGTTTTTTGTCTTTGAGTGCTGATCTAATTTTGTCATGTTGTGGTTGAAATTTAGGAAACATCCCCCTGTTTGGTTGAAATTTAGGCCTTGTTTGGTCAGAGGATTTCAGAAGAGGGGATGTGTGAAGAATTTGTGTGTTTTGGTTGAAAGTAGGGGGAGGAAAGTCGATGGCTTCCAAAATCCTCTTCTTCCTCTCTTTCCCAAACCCCAAAATTAGGGTATTTCAGAGGAAATATGTTGTTAACGGAAACTAAAAAATGAAAAATCGAAAAATTCAAAAATCTATTAAAAATTTGGAAAATGAAAAAAAAAACAGAAAATTGAAAACTTCAAAAAAATGAAAAATAGAAAATTCAAAAATTGAAAACTTTTAAAAATTAAGAATTAACCTTTATAAATAAAAAAATGAAAAAGTTAAAATGTTAAAAAATATTAAAAAGATTAAAATAAAAATTTTAAAAGATTAAAAATTAAAAATTAAAAACTTAGATTTTTTTTTTTTGACTTAAAAGAAATTTCCTCAAACCAAACCCAAATATCAATGAGAATCTTTCCTCTCCTTCCCTCCCCTAACCTCCTTGACTCTCTCTCCCTTTCTTTGAACCAAAGAAAGGCTCAAGGAATGAGAGGAGGCGAAGATTCTCTCGTCCTCTCCTTAATCCTTATTATTGTGTCCCCACCCCCTTGAGTTAAATGAAACAACTACAAAATTACATTCATATTGCTAAGGTAGGCTTGTCTACCCCTCAATCCAAACTGGACTATTTAAAAGTTGATAAAGAAACGAATACATTCTATAGAGTTGTTTTAAATAAGTGACAAAAATCAATTAAGCATATGAACCAATCAATATGAGTAATACTCCCTCTATGGCTCTATCCCATAAAGGTGGGTCAAAGGTGGGTCAAACTTGTGCAAAGAAGATAAATATTATGAACCACATGTGTTACTTTAAAAATAGACCCCTAATTATATATGTTGTAAGAATGTATTACGAAAGTTTCATTGTCAAAAATAAGATTCGTTACACAATTAAATATTTTTGCCTATACAACTACTTGGTATCATAAGCCATACAAAATAATTTATTTAGGCAGTCTTAGAAGCAAAATTAACAATAATACGATCACTTTTAGTTCTCAGTATCTGTGAGGAAGGTAGAAAGTCATCCAATCGTGTTTCGTGTGTATCTCTGTAGTTGTGGCTCAATCTACAGATATGAAGATTGAGGAATATCTTTTATGGAGTATTAGAGTATAGGGAAATGATGTAGTGAGGCGCGTCTGACCAAATGAATCATACAGACAGGCCTGTGTGAGGGAATTCTGTGTTGAATTTTTTGATGAACTTTTGTGGGGAAGTTCTTCGTGAAGAGTATACTATGTGCCTAAAATTTCAGCTTAAAATTCAATCAGGGAGTCTTTCAAATAAATTACTAAAAAGACTGCGTTGTATACATATATAAAAAGCGTGATGTTTCTCGATAATTTATTTAACAGACTTCTTGGTTGAATTTTAAAATGAAATTTTGTAGACATAATTCTAAACTTAATGAAATTCATACTCACAAAATTTCATCAAAAAAATCCATCCGAGAGCACCTCAAATGGGCCCTTCCATACAGAACTCCTTGTCGTGCACGCATGAAGTGAATGAGACTCAATATGTATACACTACCACTAAATAATTTATGGGGCCCTCTTCCTGGTGGGCCCTGGGCAGCAGCCTAGGCTGCCCCTATACCGGGACCGGCCCTGACTTTATTGTTCTACACGAAACAAGTGTGTTTTGTTTTAAATTGGTTTGTGTATTTCATAACTGTTAAAGTATGATCTAGTCTGTTCTGGTATGATCTGTTTAAGTCTGGTCTATTATGTTTTAATCTGGTATGGCACTGAAATCAGTTCAAGTAAAAACATCTTAATTGTTCTAAATTGATTAAAGAACGTGTTTAAATTAATGGCATCAACACATTTTTTTTACCATTTTCTGGGAAATTGTTATAAATAGGAGTAATTAACATTTGAAATTCTAAAATAAGACTACTATATTTTTCTTCCCGAATAGGAGTAGTAACCTCCATGATTGAAAATTACTCCCATGATTAAAAGATATTACCAATAATTATAATACATACTCCCATGTTGAATGCACTGTAACCGTTTGGCAATCATGACTACAACAAGACGGTAAATACTGTCATGTTACTCCTATTTCGAGAAGAAAGTTATAGCAATCTAACTTTTTCGATGATAAGCTTGATTTTTAAGCTAGAATACGACATCAAATCCTGAATTGACAGCTTTTTCTTTCATCTCAAATTATGTATCCATGAGGTCCTTGAATTGATACATTCTAATACTCCGTACTTGATAGGTAGTTAGTTTACTATGTTTATTAGATAGTTTACTATGTTTATTAGACCAATATAAATCCTAATAAAAACAATAAAATACATACTCCCTCCGTCCCTTAAAACTTTGCCATCTTTCCTTTTTGGGACGTCCCAAAAAACTTTGTCACTTTCCTTTTTAATCAATCATTTCGTGGTTTCTGTTATTTCTCTCTCCTCTGCACAAATCTCAACCACAAAGTTTTTACTTTATTATTCTCCGTGCTGGTCAACTTTGGCAAAGTTTCGAGGGACGGAGGTAGTATAAAAAAAGAAAGGGAAAATTGGCAATTTGGTTCTCGTACTATCACAGAAAAGTCAATTAGGTCATCATACTTTAAAGATCAATCAAATACGTGATCTTTGAAAAAAGGTTCAATTAGCGGGTTACCCACCACACCAATAGATCATCTGCTGATGTGGCACACATGTGATAGTCCAGAAAGTCATTTCCGGATGACGTGGCGCACACGTCGAGGGCCACATGTGCACCACATCAGCACATGATCTGCTGACATTATGGATGGACTCGGGCCGGGTGGCTCGACCCGGAACCGGCCCGGGACCGGTACTGTTCCGGCCCGGCCCGACCCGGTGGCCTGGTCAGTGACCGGTCCGGGTAGGCCCGACCCGTGGGTTTTCCGGTCCGGGCTCGGGTCACCCAAAACAAGGCCCGACCCGACCGGGCACGGGCCCGATTCGGGCCAAAAACTGTTTTGTTTTTTCAATTTTTTTAAAATTTTCGGGTTGGGCTGGGTATTTTGGGTCATTTGGGGTGGTTTGGGGGGTTGGGGTGGGAGGGGGGTTAATTAGGAAGAGGAAAACAAAAAAAATATAATGGGGCCGGCCCGGCCCGGCCCAAGCCCGGACCCGGTGGTTACCCGGGCCGGTCCCGGGTCCACCATTTCTGACCCGCCGGCTCGCCCGGGCCTAGGCCCGACCCGGACCCGGCCCGGACCCGAGTCCAACCCTAGCTGACATGTTAGGTACCGGCCGAATTGAATGTTTTTCCAAAGCTCAGAGTTTTGATTGATTTTTTTTCAGTATGAGGACCTAATTGACTTTTCTAATAGTACGAGAACCAAATTGACAACTTTCCCAGAAAAAAATATACCTTATCTGAAGTTCTCATATTAGAAGAACCATACCAGAATGGCATACTCTTTTTGGACATGACAGCCTAGAATTTTCCAAAACTCATCAGGATTCATAATGTTTTTCATTTTTTTTGCCACCAACATGCATTATTGTTTTTGTCGTATGTATATCGTTCCCATATTTAGTCTCACTAAACAGCTTTCGAAGGTAGCAGATACAATTATGAACAGCACAACTACAAAGCAGGATTGACTTGACTGGATCACTTGTTGAGTAGGTCTCTCAGTAACATGGGTACATCTCCTCCAAACTGCAAAGAGCAAAAAAGGTAAGAACAATGCCTGGCAGTGTGATTTCTGAATTACCTAATGATAAGGGGGAACTCTCACCTTCTTCCAAGGCACTTGATGATATCTGCAGTGAGAGTGGATCTCTTCTTGTTCTCAAATGCAAGAGCTGCTGCCTTTCTCACCAAAACCGACCCAGCGATGCATCCCGATATTGTGGGATTTTTTATTGACAGTTCTCCCTGAGTAGTAGCACTCTGCCGTGCCCAACAAAGAAATACAGCAACGCTAACAGCAATAAATAGCCAAGTGTTGGCAACTTAAGTTTTCACGCATTAAAGCAATGTATTTTGGAGTGGATAGGATGATACAGTATGTGTGTACATATTGTGGTTATACTTACTACTCCCTCCGTCCCGTTGGAATGTTCCCATTTTGACCTACACACATATTAAGGAAATACCAGGGGATAAATTTTACTGTTTTGACACCGTTTCGACACTGTTTGGCACTGTTTCGACACTATTTGACACTGTTTTGCACTGTTTGACCCTGTTTTGATGGAGGATAACTTTCCATTTAGGGAAATGGGAACTTTCCAACGGGACATCCAAAAAAGTAAAGCGGGAACATTCCAACGGGACGGAGGGAGTATGTTGTTAAGCTAGTACACTTTCCTTTTAAGCTTGTTTCATATTACTTGTCTCTCTTTCTTTTTTGAAAATGGGCCTGGATAATAAATCATCCAGCTACCAATTAAAAAGAACTCCACCCACCAAAAATTAAATATCCACTGCCCAAAAGGTACCTTCTCTCACCTCAATAAAAACTTTCTTAAACTCTGTGAAAACCAAACTATGACAAGTGTTTTGGAATGGAGGCGATAATATAATGGAGAACAGAAAAATGAATACAACCAACCTTCCTGAAAGTATATCACCCTGGCCACCACAGCGGCGAGGAGAGCCAAACACACTCACTGACTTAACTGCAAGGAAATACAACTAGGGGATCTATAAGTTGAAAAATGCACAGAAGTATGAAAGATATCAGTCCAGCAAAATATAAATCTTGCAGATTCACAACTTCACTAATACTCTAAAGTCTAAAGCAAGAAGATACCTGTTATACCATCGCTGATTATATCAAATCTCCCTTTTCGCAAAATTGTCACCCCTCCAATCCTGAAGAGATGCAGTTGGCATTAATTAATTAATGCGCGTAAATAATACTTCCTCCGTCCCTCAATACTTTGCTATGTTTGACCGGCACGTGAAATAATAAAGTAAAAACTGTGTGGTTGAGAAATGTGCAGAGAAGAGAGAAATGACAGGAACCACAAATTCATTGATTAAAAGGGAAAGTGGCAAAATTTTTGGGACATCCAAAAAAGGAAAGATGGCAAAATTACAAGGGACGGAGGAAGTACCAAAGACTCATAGGAATAATTCCACCTATTGGCGTTCATCCCATATTAATCTCAAATGTGTAATCCTGGTATAATATTGGGTGCTTTCTCAAAAGGATTCCATGTTACCGGTAACCTGATGAGCAGGTTAAAATTTTGTAACGGCCTGGGCTACTGGCTGGATCTGGATTAAGCAAGTTAAAATTTTGTAATGGCTTGCTATAAACATGGCTTCTGTAGTTCCCAGAAAATGTCCTTGCTACGGGTATTCATTCGGTGGAGCACGTGACTTGAACTCTAGTTCCCAGAAAAGTTTCTGTCCTAAATAATGTCAAACTAAATTTGGAGATAAATCTGCACAGTGACTGATGTGTCATGGAAGGTGGACAGTGTCAATAGATGGCATTTAGCCAGCCAGCTACTATGTCTCTGATAAGCTGTATGCGAAACCTTGAATAGAAAAACACAGAGATTTATTGAACCTCAGCCAGCCTACAGTAATTGGTCTATCATGGGATATTCTCCAAAGTAAAAGAAGACCGCATAACATATACAGAAGATAATATATGTATACTAGAACTCTATTTAAATTGGAATAGTTATGCAGCAACAAGACTTTTAAAGTCTCCAAATTGCATTAAGAGGGCCATACTGGCCTAACCCTTCTCCTTGTGTCGTACATCAAATTTGTGGTGTTGCATTGCGCTGTTCACTCAAGATAAGCATGTTTAGCTTCCCAAGAAGGAGAGCAGTTTGTACTCAATTAGACAGATTTGTTTTTCATTCTGGGATATTATCATGAGGAAGAAGCCAAGAAACTAACATTTCATCACACGAGGGACAATAAAGCATAGAATTTACCCCTTAATAAGGGACTTTAGTTCTTCCATTGCATCTTTTTCATTAACTTCAGAAGTTAATACAGTTTGCACGAGCCGTTTATACTCATTTACATTTGGTGTCAGGACAGCCAAAGGATAACCTCTAACCAGATCAAGACATTGTGTAACAAGAAAGAGCCCATCCTGTGAAAAAAAGCACACACACACATTATATGCGTAAAAATTATCAGGTGCAATACTTTGCAACATAATTAGGCTTCTGCCAGGGAGAAAATGTATGTGAAATCACTTCACTCTGTTCAAGCATACCCCATCTATAACCATTGGGACATTGCACTCTCGTGCACGAATTATGATGTTACTCACACAGTCCTGAGATAAGTTAAAATTTTAAAGGAAGTTGTTAATACAGCCACCTGACAGATAAAAAGATATCAAACACCGAAGAACAGATGTAGAGGGGATTATCCTTTCGACCTTTCTAGGTATCAGCCTAATAACACATTAACACCATATGTGTTAATGTATTATATTTTCCAAATGAAACTAATTGTTTTAGTTTCCCGTAATCACACGATGAAATTCAAAGAAACAGAAGCTTTTAAAATTTAGACCAACTACAAGCAAATAAGCCTGATATGGAAGTTAGAGATCAAGATAAGAATAAATGTCCGACTGACTTTTTCATCTAGTGTATAGGATTCAGCATAGTGAATACTCCATCCGTCCCATTTAAAGGTTCCCGTCCACTATTCTCCGGTCAACGTGCATATTTCTTAATCTTTTACTTTATATATCCAACTTTTATCAAATTTAAATTTTCTTGATCAAGCATTGTAGCGGTTTAATGTAGTTTCTTAATATGTAAATTTTATTTACTAAAAATAATTCTACTAATGACAGGAATGAGGGATCAGTTAACTTTATGGTCAGTCAAACGTCGTAAACCGCGTGGGAACGTTTAAATGGGACGGAGGGAGTACATAACAATGAGCCAAGCAAGCTTATTCCAGCTCAATAGCGACAACGTTAAAACTTAACTAGTCATTCAGGCTTATACCCCTCTAGTACAATACTACGATCATATTAACATTTAACGCGCTAAAAGTGTTTAAGGCCCATTCATCTAAATTCTCTAATATCAATATTTAGTAACATGTGTTGTTTCGCCTACATTTTTGGAAATTAAGGCTACATTTATACTTCATTTGCCAACTCTTGAGAGAGTTTTAACTTGAAAGACTAAGGTGATAGGGTTCAAAGGTCGTCAGGAGGTCTATGCACACTCTCAAAAGAGCTTTCTATGATCACTATGAGCTAGGGCTGCACATCCGGCGGGTTGGGTCGGGTTTGCTATATTTTTTGGGCCTACCCAATTTGTTCGGGTTGGCTATTAACCAACCCGTGGTACGCAAAATAAGTTGGTAAACCATACATGAACGGGTCGGGTAGGGTCGGGTATTGAAAAAAAATCACATCGGGTTGCATCTTTCATGTGGGAAATTATTCATGTGGGAAACTCGATTAACTTGTTTCCAAAACACACAAACAAATACAAGTACTTGTATCTTTTATAAGCAAAAACATTATGGAATAGTATTAAAACATCCTTCCGTAAAGGAAGTTCATTTAGAAGGAAACGTAAATATATAATAATCACCTAGTCAAAATGGTAAATGTTTAATTATAATTCTAATATCATAAAGTCCTAGATAGAACACAATGATCTTAAATTTAAATTATCCAAGAAAACATTGTAGCATAATAATAGTAAAATGAACTTTTGGTTGGGTCGGCCACTATCGGGTTTGAGATTTTAATTCTGCAACCATACCAATTAGGTGCAGGTTCAAACATATTTAACCCATGAATATTTTTTAAAATCAAATACCTGATTAAATAGGGTCGGGCAGGGTTGGATCAAGCGGGTTATGTGGGTTTGGGTTATTCTTGTGCAACCCTACTATGAGCCCAAATTCACAAAGTTCCCTTTGTGGCTTCTTTATGAAATCCCTAAATATATAATATTCCTTCCATCCCTTATAACTTTGCCACTTTCCATTTTAAATACAGAATTTGTGGCTCTTGTTAATTCTCTCCCCTGCACAAACCTGAACCACACAATTTTTACTTTATTATTCTACGTGTCAGTCAACTATGGTAAAGTTATATGGGACGAAGGGAGTAGATGTTTATTTTTTGAAGCATGCATAGTAGAAAACTAAACCATCAGGACTCAGGGCAAAGAATAGATCAACAACACACCAGGACAAATGGATCTCTGCCAAGACCTGGACCAACAACTAGACAATCAAATCTATCCATCCATTTATCAACCTCAGCAATCACATTGGCTGATATTGAGCTTTTATCCTCATCCCTGGGAGAGTTCTATCAAAATTATCAGTACACTTAAAAATATTATAACTCAAAGGCAATTGTGGTGTTGAGACCATCCCACCCCCCTAAAAAGCAAAAAAAGAACAGCTATGATGATAGTAATAACTAAAATTAAGAAAATTTATATATTTACTGGACATTTAAGACTTACCTAATGCTGTAAGATTCTTCGAGTATAGGATGTACAATTAACTCCGGACTATAACTTTTTATCACTGGAGCAGCACCTTTTGTGCAAAATACATGAGACAAATCTGCACCCTAATGAAACAAGTAAGCAGACTGAAGGAGTCAGTTACAACTAGAAAAACTAATTGCAGCAAGTTAAGGCAGGAATGAGCTTTGAGGAAAAGGTAAGGGAGGGGTGAGATGACTAACAATTTTCAATGCAGAAATAGCAGCAAAGTATGGAGCCCCAGTGTATTCACGACACCCACCTACAACAGCTATCTTGCCTGATTTACAGAGAGAGATAAAGCATAAATCAAGTACAAGTGAGATGAAATAAGATGGGGTCTCTTAACATGTGATAGCCTAAAACTTTTCACTGTAATTTTATTTTCTGCAAATTATATCAGTGATCCAGATTCGCGGAAATGAGATTCAACTAATTCTCCACCATAGTGACTTCATAATCCTATTGACCTTAAGTCATATTTCTTGAACTTGCTATCTCCATAAGATAGGATATTTGATTGTCAAGCATCAAATGAATGTAAAATATAACCTGTGCAATATTCTTTTAGGTTATGTTTGGGAGAGAAGTGTTGGAGTGGAGTTATTTTTTTTAATTTGAAAGATAAATTTATACATTTTATTACAACAAACAATGACTAGGACAATGGCTTTGTATTAATTTAACGATTTAATATTTTATTATCTTATATTTTGAAAAAGGAAATATAAATTTAGAGCAATGTTAATAAAAAGTAACCCTCCCATCCTTATCTTCTTCTAAAATCCCTATCCTAAACATACTGCTAAGGGGGGCTAAGGGATCCAAATAGTAGCTTAGATATCAATGCTCTCCACAATTCAAACTAAAAAACCAAACAGTTAAATTTAAAAGCTTTTCAAATCACACACATTCAGTTGCATATACTTGTCTCTCTTCCATGAAAAACGAAATGTCTTGGAAACATAACAAGAATTGTAAGAAAACTTTACCGGCTTGGCCTTTGTGCTTTGTGGAGTCCAGATTTGGGGTTATTGATCTCAAAACGCTAATAGCATCGACTTCCAAGCTAGAGCCACCACTCACTGCTGACTGCATTCTAATAGTACCCTGATGATAGAATGGACTTTTGGATTTACCAGAATAACCTCCCAAACACCTTAGTAAGAACTGGTTCCTTCTGATTACAGATGCTGAAGTAGCCAGCGTTACTCCTGATCTAGAGCTCCTGAGAATTCATGCAAAAATCAAACAAATAAAAAACAATACGTAACACAAAAACATCTCAAATAAAACAACAACCGTGACTAAGCAATATGTGTTGGCTCTGGGCGAATGATCAGTGAGTGAACGGATCTTCTGGAAGACGGAATGCTGGCTCCGGTGACTCGAGAAATATGGTAAAACCTTGTAGTTTACGGTTCAGAGAATAAACATAAGAGGATTGTTTTTGAGAAATGGTGCTAAATAGGAGCTTAACTTCCAGTATGTAATTAAATAAGATCTTGACTTTTTTAACTCCTAAATAACACCAAATTTTTTCGTGTTTCCAAAATTGCCCCTGTTTTCCTGTCTGGCCTTTTCCTAACGCACCACAGCTATCTCTCGGCAATAGCCTCACCTAATCATCTCTCTCCTTCCTCCATAGCTAAGCAAGGCAGAGCACCGTCAAAATAATGGAGGTGCTGAGCTAAAATGGTGTTGCAGCGGTGCGGTAGTATTTTTTGTGCGGCGGTGTGGAGGTGCGACGGTGCGGCGGTGCGGCTGAAGACCCTGCTGCGTAACATGCGTTCTCTCTTCTCCTCTCCTCCTCCTCCTTCTTATTCTTCCTCCCCCTCATCTTCTTCTTCTTTTTCTCCTTCTCTTCTTTTCTTTCAGTTTCTGGGACCGATTTTCCTACCAGGTGGATTCATTTCAAAATTGTGACATTGTTTTTAGTATTGATAAATGATATCAATATTGTCAAACTATTTGATAGTGCTCTGTACATACGAACAAAGTGAAAGCAAAGAAATAAGGAATGTATTTTATTGTCATCGACATTCGTATGACATTCTTATGACATTGTCATTGACATTCTTATGACATTGTCATTGACATTCTTATGACATTGTCATTGACATTGTTTTTTATTGACATTCTTATGACATTGTCATTGACATTCTTATGACATTGTCATTGACATTCTTATGACATTGTCATTAACATTCTTATGACATTGTTTTTTATTAACATTCTTATGACATTGTCATTGACATTCTTATGACATTATCATTGACATTGTTTTTTATTGACATTGCTACAACATTGACATTGTTAAGACATTTACATTGTTAAGACATTCTGATGATTTTCACTTTATTTTGATAATATTTAAAGTATAGTGACATACATAGTGTCATTATTTCACCATTTTAACATGTTTTGACGTAGCACTGTAGCAGTACATAAAGAAATTGAAAAAGGAGAAAGGTATGTTTTTGCGCAGAAGATATGTTGAAAGAAACTAAATTGATCGGAATTTCGCCCGAAATCGTTCGGAATTGGTTTGAATGACATTGTAGCCTGATATTAATTTCGACGAATGAGTCTTTGAGCTTCGCCAATGTAATCCGAGCTTCGACGAATGAGTCTCTGAAATTGATGAAGAAAATCGATTGGAGCTTTTTGTTGAAGATTATCCGAGCTTCGACAGCCATTGGAATGGGCTGAAGACGGCTGAAGCTCTCGGTGTTCTGCGAAGTCGGTGGATCGCGATTGAGTGAGGGGTTGGGGTTATTTTTGTCCGTCCAGATGCAAATAAGTCCTATTTAGGGTTAAAAAAGTAGAAGTTCTTTTCCGTATACCAAGCCCATGTTTTACTCCTATTGGAGTCTTTTCCCCATTGTTTTTCACTAATTTAACTATTTGCGCATAAAGTTAATATAAAAAGTTGTGTTTTTTGAGAAAGTAACTTATTATATTAAAATCAAGCTCATAATAGAATAAGGTAATCATCTCTATCTCAAACTGACCAAAAGCTCAGCAGCCCCCTCACTCCTAAATCACACATAGAATAGTCCATCCAAAAAGAGCGAGATTAATCGCTGAAAATGTGATAGCTTCGAGATTATTAGCGGATGAATCAGCCTGATTGCTTCCAATAAGTAATCTATCAACTAAAGCAAAACAAAGCATCATTCTACCCCCCTTATTGTTTATCCTAAACAGAGCAAAATAGAAATAGTAAAATAATCTGGACTGAAAATAAAAAACTAGAAATAGTAAAGCAGACTTTCAAACCCTAGTCGCATAGTTCATCCATGGCGGTGGTTCGGGAGGGGGACGAATTTTTATCCTTTTATCTTCTTCCTTCATCACTTCGATCTGTCCATGAATCGCCTCTTTCTCTTGACCAAGGTACTGCACGAACAAAACTAATCCGAGAACGAGTAACCTCCACATCCCAATTCGGATTAGTCGCACGAACCCAATTGAAATTGGAATTGGTCTTCACTGCTCCCATCCTTGATTGCGGAGTTCGTCCCTGTATCGTCCAACGTCGATCGAAGAGGTTCGCTGACCCCAAACTACGCAGACAAGGGTCGAAACCCTAGTTGCGGCTATAAAAAAAAGCTATAGTCTTTATTTGCAATAATTTTTCATTGAATGTCTAATCGAATATTGATGAAACTATTTGTTAAAAAAAGGATGACACCTCATTCCTGAGGGGCCCCCAACCCCGATCAGACGGTACGTTGGGAGGATGTAAGTTGTACTATAATCACAATCTAACAGATAGAGAGTGGGGCTCTGTCCCCGGTACTTGCAGAGGCCCTATGCATTTTTAGCATAATAACCTCCCATCGCAGTTGTCGGGATTCGAACATGGAACCTAACCCTTGTGGCACTCCCTTGCTACCAGTTGAGCTACGCCCACCGGTTTGATGGAACTATTTGTAAATTATACGAAGTATTAGTAATTAGATAGTTATATTATTATTATTTGAACAGCGGCACAGAACAAGGCCCCGGCTCGTACAAAAAAAGGTTCACAAAAACAAATTCACGGATTAAGTGGACCCAAATAAATCTACCCCAGATTAGTAACGGTCTAGAATCAAGGTGAGTTTCATTACCGCAACCCCAAAACAGAGATCAGTCAAAGCAGCTTCTGTGTATCACATAGTGTAATTCACGCAACACACGAGACCTTGCAGTCAAAGCCATCACAAAGTAACTTGTATCCTTTGTCGGGGGATATATTGATTTGGTTTAACTGAACCGTACCATAACGAACTAAACCGAAATGAAACCAGACCATATACAATTTGGTTTGAGTTTAATATTATTTCTTCCAAATCATATTAAATCGAACCAAACTGAAACCGATAAAAACCGAGACAAAACTGAACTGAACTAAAGAAATTCAATAAAACCATCCTATATTATTAAATAATAAAAAAACCAAACTAATCTAAACTGAACTAAACCGAATTGAATCAACCCGCAAAATAGTATGATTTTTGTTTGGTAATAATTCTCTCAACCCGTTAAAAACCAAACCGAAAATCGATATGTATTATTTTTGTTTGGATGTATTATTTCAAGGGTTGCCAGATCTCTTACTACTTTTTTGTTAGAAAAATAAAAATAGAGGATTGGCACTTGTATAAATTGTCAGCTACCTTTACTTAGGAATTCAGTACTTCACAAAGTTATTAAAGAGTGCTTATAAAGACTTGCATTAGTAAGTGCCACATTAAGTAAGCACGGGTATATGCTCATATCTACTTCACAAAATTTAAGACATTGTTTAACATTAAAATGTCCAAACACTCATGTATACACAAGTATATATAATAAGTGAGGCCCTACCCCCACCCTTTACCCGTCAGCGTGCTCATACCTGTACCTCGTGCATGTACCCTTACTCCTACCCCGTACCACTACCCCTACCCTACCCTATCACTACCACTACCCCTGCCCTACCCCCTGACCCCTGACTTGTATCCTTACCCATTCCCTTATCCCATACTCCCTACCCTTACTCCACTGAGGTGCAGGTAGCAGGTATGGGGTAGGGGCTACAAGTCAGGGTGAGGGTGGGGCACGGTCAGGAAATTAAAGGGGTACAAGGGATGGTTATGAGGTAGGGCTAGGTAGGGGGTACAAAGGGTCGGGTAGAGGTAAGGGGTATGAGTTAGGTGGTATTTGGCAAGTAGGGTGGGAGTTGGGATTTGAGCGGTGGTAACAATAAGACCAAGAGTAAATGCGAAAACTAAAAAGACTTAAAGTGCTGCTTAATTAATACATGGGGTATGCTTCGTAAGGATGTTTTTACTTGGACTATAATTTGCGGTCTGGTTTGGTCTAGTCAGTTTAAGTCTGGTCTGATAAACATCTCATCTCTGTGTATTTTTTAACTGCGGAAGTCAAGTCTGGTCTCTTCTGTTTAAGTCCGGTATGGTCTTTTTATCTCTGGTATGGTCTGGTCTGTTTTACTTTGGTCTGACCTGAGACTGAAAACAGTCCAAGTAAAAACATCATAAGGGGCACTTTAAGCACCATTTAGAGTAGGTAGGCAACTTTTTAAGCAACATGTATGTTTACTTCATCTATCTAATTAATCTAATTGTTTAGCAGCGAAGTAAACACGTACTTACAAAGGGTGGACTCGGGCGGTCGGGTCAAGCCGGGTCGGGTCCGGTCTCGATGGTCTTTTTTTCTACAACACTTTGGCCCAGTACCAACCTGATTTGCTCCGGTACCGGTTCCGGTTTGGACCCAAACAATACCAGGCCAGACTGGGTCTGAATCATTACCTCCCATTTAATATTTTTAACAAATTGTGCAGTTAGGCCCGTGCTGGGCCCGGGCCCGACATCGAGCACGAAGCCAGCCCCTTGGCCCCCTTATAACCACCGGTCTGGGCTCCGAACTAGTCCTAAACAAATAACGGGTCAGGTCGAGCCTAAACAATACCAGGTCGGGCCCGGGTCAGGCCGCCTAGGCCCAATCCATCCCTAGTACTTACTGATTAAGACTTAAGAGCTCTCTAAAAGAGAGATTCATATGAAATTTTATTTTGGGAAAACTGTCAAATAAGTTCATGTACTATTACTAAAAAGTCAATTAAGTACATGTACCTTTAATTGGATCAATCAAATCCATGAACTGTCAAAAACCAACCAAATCGGCTTTTTCACAGGTAATCAACCGGTTCCAAATTCAAATGCTTACGTGGATCGTTCACCAGGATTTTTTTACTGTTTACAATTTTTTATAGGGAAAACTGTCAATTGCGCCCTCCTACTATGCGCGATCCGTCAATGGAGTCCCCGTACTTTGGAAACCCTCAATTGAACCCGCCAACAATGAAAATCCCGTCAATTAGGTTTACATAACCGAATGCTTCCCGGTTAGCCTGTTGCTCGCTCATGTGGCGCTGACGTGGACATCGTACATTGAGGGTTCCATTGCTGACATGGATTAAAAAAATTCACATCAGTTAATGACTCTATCCTTTTCCAAATAACACCGCTGTAGCCCTAATTCCTTCCTTAATTCGAATTCGCATGTGTATCAGAAGCAAACTATCTAAGCGCTCTTCAAGGATGTTCATCCATTTTTCTTCGTCGACTTGAATAATAGATACTCCAGGTTAGTGCTTTTGTGTTTGTCTGTCGCAGTGAGTAAGGGCGTTTTGTTGCACGGAAATGTATTGTTTCTTTTATATGACTTGACTATGTTATGTGATGGTCACTTGCCCTTGTTGCTTTAGTTTAACTTTGTTATGATTTCACTTGTACTGTTTCTTACTGGTTCCATCAGCCCTTAATCTGATTTGAATCTTTTCAAATGTACAACATGTTCAACAAGGTGGAACTTATAATTCACCATGGAGGCAATTTTATGTGTGTTCCTGAATCAATGTACGTTGGTGGTCAAGTTGATGTGCTACGCATAGACCCAGATTTGATTTGCTATCCTCATTTAATGAAGTGCTTAAAAACATGAAGGTATGGTAACATTAAGGCTTTGTATTACAAAAAACCTAGCCAGTGTATGAAATCTTTAAGAGAGCTGTTTGATGATAAGTCAACCCTAGATTTGATACGTCTGGCTACTAGTTGTGGTAAGTGTGACATATTTGTGGAGCATGGGTTAGATGAAGTGGAAGAAATAGGTGGGGAGTATGATGGAACTACAAACAAAGAGGGTGAAGAGACAGATTATTCTTGGAAGCCAGAAGAAGTTGACACAGATGACTCATTGATGGAAGACGGATCTGAGACAAATGATAGTGAACATGAAGAGACAGAAAATGAAGGATTATTTGATAATGAGGTTGCATCTGATCACACTGCTACACAAATGGGGGGAACCAGAGCTGAAGACAGTGAAAATGAGGAGGTTTCCGCAAAGTATGACTCATCTAATCCCAATAGCTACATGACTGAGGAAGAGGATGATGATGGGACATCTAAAAGTGCAAGCAAAAGGTATGGGTCATTTAACCCTGAGTCTGAGGTCCCTAAATTTGAAGTAGGGATGTATTTTGAAGATGGAAAGCAATTTAAGAAAGTTGTGATCAAATATGCTGTATTTGAGAAAAGGGATTTGTATTTTAAGAAAAATGAACCTGAGAGAGTGAGAGTAAAATGTGGGAAAAGTGCCCCTTTTCTTTAACGGGTTCATGGGTTGAGAGACTGCAGTGTTTTCAAGTTAAAGTTTTCAAGGAGGGACATAATTGTAACTTGAGGTGTAAGCTTAGAATTGTTTGCACAAAATGGGTGGCTGACATGTATTTAGACAAAGTTGCTGAGAATCCCTCTATAGGCGCTGTGGAATTAAAAAGGCTGATCAAGGCTGAGTATAAACTAAATGTGTCTGAAAGCATGGCCTCAAGAGCTTTGAAATGTATTGAAGAGAAAAATGCAACTGCTTTTAAGGAGCAGTTCAAAAAAATTAAGAACTATGCAGAGGAATACCTTCAATCCATTCCAAACAGCACTATTATCATATCAACTGTAAGAGTGGTTCCTGATGCACCTAGTGTTTTCCAGCGCATATATGTTTGCTTTGGGCCTGTGAAGAAAGGTTTTCTAGAAGGGTGTAGGAAGGTAATTGGTGTGGTGTGATGCTTTTTAAAAGGACAAATGAAGGGAGAGATATTGAGTGATGTAGGTAGAGACGCAAATAACCAAATGTATCCAATAGCTTGTGTCGTGGTTGAGATTGAGAACACCTATTCGTGGACTTGGTTTTTGGATTTGTTGTATAAGGACTTGGATGTTACTGCCCCAGATGAGTGGACCTTCATCAGTGATCAACAGAAGGTGAGATCATATATTTTTGTTCTTTCTTTGTATTTACAAGTAAAATATGCAATTAACTCTTGTGTTTGCTGTTCTTACCTTCATTGTTTAGGGCCTAGCCAATGCATTGAGCAGAGTTTTTCCAAACGCTGAGCACAGGAACTGTGCAAGGCATATTCACGCAAATTGGAGCAAAACTCATCGAGGCATGAATCTGAAAAAACTGTTTTGGCTGTGTGCAAAGTCTACATGTGAACGTCAATTGGAAGCAAACTTAGCAGAGTTGGATAAGGTTAATGTTCAAGCTCGTAAAGACTTACGCAAATATCCATTCAAGTTGTGGTGCAAAGATTTCTTTAGGGATGCAGTGAAATGTGACACAGTTGAGAACAATCTCTCAGAGGCCTTTAATAGCACACTCTTAAAATGTAGATCCAAACCTCCCATCCCAATGCTTGAGGACATAAGAGTGGCAACCATGAAAAGAATAGCCAAGAAAAGGAAATATGTTCTCAAGGGGTGGCCAGGTAAAGGATAGGCAGAATACTTGGTGCAATTGAATATGACATATGATAACCTATGTATTCACATGTGCTTTTAATTATTTATGATGCAGGACCCTTTGGACCAATAATCATGAAGAAGCTGAATGGTAACATTGTGACAAGTGAAGGCTGGAATGTGGACTTCAATGGTGATGACGGTTATGAAATAAAGAAAGGAAGAGCTCAGTTCAAAGTGAGTCTCTAGAAAAAATCATGTTCATGTAGAAGGTGGGATCTGTGTGGCATCCCTTGTGCTCATGCAATTTGTGCAATCTATGACAAAGGGGAGGAAGTTGAGTCATATGTAGATTGGTGCTACAGTAAGGAGGTATACAAGAAAACGTACTCGTACACATTGCATCCAATAAATGGGGAGTTGTTATGGCCAAGAACTCAATTTGAAGAGATATTACCTCCTTTGCCCAAGAAAATGAGTGGCAGACCTAAGAAAAAGCGAGTAAGGGAAGAAACAGAGCCACGTCCACCTACTGGCTCACAACTACCAAGAATAGGACGCATCATGACATGTTCAAAATGCAAAGGAGAAGGACACAATAAGAAATATTGCACAACAACAGATGGGGCAGGTATGGAAGCAACTCCTAGCACATCAACTCCTGCAGGTGCTGGTATTGTGGGTGCAGGTGCAACAGGAAGAAGGCCTAGAGACAGGGGTAAGAAGGGGAACAGTAGAAGCAGAGAGCAATCTGGCTTTGGAGTTTATTTTGATGAAGCTACGGGTGAAACCATATTGGAAGCAAGTGAACTCCACAAATGTATTGTATTTGCATATGTCAGAATAATGCTTTGTTAACTGATCCACCTTTCTGATTTCAACTGCTTTGTTAACTGCAGCCTGGCCAGCCTGGAAAGACTCTGCTTGGATGAAGGAAGAAGGGTGTTGTGTGAAGATGAAGATGATGTTGGGGTTGAAGATTGTGTATGCTGTCATGAACTTATGTGGAAGTAGGCTGGTGGAACAATGGAACTTCTTATTTTGCTTGAATTTATGAATGTGTAAAACTTATGTTGGTTTGAAGTATGGATTTAAGTGTATGTTGGTTTTAGGGTCCCTTGGTTTTATGCATGGGGTTTAAGTGTATGTCCTTGCCCGTGTGTGTGGTCAGATGACCTGTTTTGGTTCATGACATATATTATTTGTGTGGTTGAAACTGAATGTTGTATTGAACAGCTAGTCTGCATAATGGCTTTTGGACAACAACCTTTATGACTTACTTTGTCAGCACCATGTGATATACAATCATTGTAGCCACATGTATTATTTACTTGAATGACATTCATGTTTGGGTTAATTTACAGGCCACATGGGTATTAAATGACAGATCTTGATAAGCGCATGGGGTACACCCCTTTATGGTAACAAGAATATTAAAGAAAAGAGCATGCTTAGATGACTAATCTGAACCAAAAGATGTGGTACCAAAATCAGCATTTTCCAACCCTCAATGACTAATATAAAGTGCAAAAGATGCTCAGATCTGCAAAAGTGCAAAAAATAATATAGGAATGTAGTGCCCCAAACATACAACACAAAACGAGGGTGGTTCATATTCAAACAATACTTCAAACCATAAGGACCACACAAGGTGTTTACAAAATAAAAGTGAGTTCTAAGCATCCTGCATAACTTATAAACCAACACACTACTTAAATACTTCAAACTGAGAACATATTACATCATAGGAATTCAATTACACTGAAGCATTCCTATCCTGCATAGAATTTTGTTACAAAGCACACGGCCACAACAAGCCCTATGACAATGAACTTCCTGGCCTTCTTTTTGTGCTTCACGTCATTTTAAAGAAAGGTTTTCACACACTTTACATCTTCTTGGACATGGCTAATGCGTTGGACAAGACCTTCAACAATGATCTTAACTTCATTCAGCTTATCTTTCTTATGACTAGGCCTGATTATGTCTTCTCTTCCTAGGTCTTCCTTCCATAAGAAGTAGCTGCATTCATCACCCTGTATATTTTGAAAACCAATCACAATAACTAATAACTTCAAAAGATAACTACAATTGACAGCCATTTTTCATGTAATTGCATACATCCATATCAAACATCCACAAAAGCTACGAAATTAGAAATGCACATTTCATATGAAGACTTACTAGCCATTTTTGACATCCATAGAATTGTCTCCCACTCTCCCTTCCGACGCACAACGGGGCTTTCAATCCACACCAACAATACACTGCAGGCTCGTGATTAGTTGTGCTCTTACGTTCTTTGGTACCACTTGATGCAGACGACGACGCCATTGATAGACACGAGCTCAGGAAATGGAGAAGAAGAACGACGAGCGCAATTGAACGGAGATGGAACGACGAGCTGCAGGCTCTTACTTTCTTTCCTAATTTCGAAAGATAAGGAGTAATTTATTTGGGAATAGAGATGTGAAATTTTTTAATCCATGTCAGCAATGGAACCCTCAATGTACGATGTCCACATCAGCGTCACATGAGCGAGCAACGGGCTAACCGGGAAGCATCCGATTATGTAGACCTAATTGACAGGATTTTCATTGTTGGCGGGTTCAATTGAGGGTTTCCAAAGTACGGGGACTCCATTGACGGATCGCGCATAGTAGGAGGGCGCAATTGACAGTTTTCCCCTTTTTATACCTTTTCTTTTCATTTTCTTTTTCTTTTCTCTCTCTCTCTCTCTTTCCTTCTTCTTTCTACGTGCTTCTTTCTCGTTCCAGGTCTCCAATGACCCATGTCCGACTTGCACCAGCTCCCCCCCCTTCAATTCTCCCCTTAGCTCCTTTTTTTCTCTTTCTTTCTTCTTTCTCTTGAAATTCATATCATAATTACGGCTGCTTGAGCGCCCAGCTTCCTCTTCAATTCACCCGGCGACGTCGAAGCGGTGTCCAAGCCACTGCAACAACTACCCAATCTCGTCGCCTAACTCCCGCACTCAGCTTTGGCTTCGCTCGGAGAATTAAAGCCAGTGCAATTAACCCACGCTCGACATTAAAAGCCCCAATATCGAATTTCTTAGAAGCATAAACAAGTGGTAATTTTGTGGTCAGTGGAAAAAGAAAGAAAGAATGAGGGATGAGAAGTTTGCCCGAAACAGGTGGGCGCAACAAGAAAGCAAATTGAGGAGGAGTTGATGGCAGGTTGGACGGTGTAGGCCTGAAATGGAAAAGGAGCCGAACACAAAAGACATAGAGAGAAAAAGAAAACAGAAAATGAACAAAATAGGAAATGTAAAAAATAAGTCACTTCAACAATCCACGTAGGCAATCAACCAGAGTACCGATTGATTACCCATTCAATAGCCAATTTGGTTAACTTTTTTATAGTTCATGGACTTGATTGATTCAGTTTAAAATATGTGGATTCAATTAACTTATTTGACAATTTTTCCTTTTATTTTTAATCTCATGCACTCAATCAACATCCCCGATGGATAGAAATGAATGCTCATTACTAAAGGGTGTTCATATTATTCACATATATTTATAATAAAGATGGTTCTCATATGAGATGTTTGTCAAACCCGAAATACTCCTGAAACATAAACTAACAAAAAACCAAAGCTAAAAGAGTATTTTGCAAATCCTTACCTATACCGATATAGTACATACTTTATATGCTTACCTATAGAGAAATTGGAATTGCCATTCTCTTTCTCTGATGAACTGAGCTTACACCAACAGCAGTCGAACCATAATGCCAAATGTGATAGTTACAATGTTACATGCTTGACATAATTACTTTTCAAAATCATTACCAACAGCAACACAAAAAAACTGAAAAGATCAATCTAAATGTGAAGACTTGGAAATATTCCTGATATCATCATCTAAGAACATAAAGATGATTGTCTGTAAGCCTTTTACAGAGAACATACAAACAACTTCTGCCTTTACACAGCCCAAGTCTTCTCAGCAAATTAGATCCACGAAACCAAGGAATTTGCGCGTCTCAGAACAAAAGGCTGGGCTAGAAATGCTCATTATTATTTTTAGTTCAGACTGCAAAGGAGAATCACTCTAGATCTGTCCCAATATAACTTCCCCACCAGAAACTTTGAACTCAGATGGAACTTTTTCGACATTGAGAACCTTGACCTGTCCATCGACTATGTACGCTGACCACCTGGTTCAGTCACAAAATGGATAATAAGCCAATAGGTAGTCCTTGATCACTTACTCATTCAATCCCATTTCGTAAGATACACTTTCCTCTACGAGTTATCCAAAAAAACATGAACATTTTCCTGAATTTTTACTTTTCCACTTTATATATTTTCTTTCATTCCACCTTTTTATTTTTATGGACTCGTGCTGCTTTTTCCAGGGCGGATGTACATCTAGATCAATGGGGGCACGTGCCCCAACAACATCTGAACTCTTAATGTTAATATATAAGATATACATAGTATTTTAGTATAAAAATTGGAAGTGCCCCCAATTAAAAAAGTAAAAGTGCCCCCAATTCTTATTTTAGGATGAAGAATATTCTCACCAAGCCAATCTTCCAAAAGCAACTAATGAACTAAAGAATTTTAACAAAAATATGACTAAAGTTATTATGAGAGTTTTTTCCCGGAGAAAATGTACTCTTGATTTTTATTTTCCAACAAAAGGTATTTATAAACATATTTGCCACATGAAAGTATTTTTCTCCAGGCATCCTTAGTTGGAAAATAAGATTCAACAATACATACCTTTCCTGTTATAAAAAAAATACGTACCTTTCCTCCGTAAAAAACTCATCACTATGAGTATAGTGTCATATATAGTTACTTAAGTGTAAAATGAACATACGTTGTTATGACTAAAGTTACTACTATAGTCAATACATTTAAGAGTTTACATTTCTTAAAATACCTTCATATTCATCATAAATATGTCATTGTTTTTTAAGTAAATGCAAATATATATATACATATATACGAAGTAAAAATTTTGAGCTTAATATTTTAAATATAAAAAAGTATTAACTATGAGATTAATTTTAAAGTTATACATTTGAATAATATTTATTATAAATCTTTTAAATGATGCCCCCAATAACATCTTCTCCTGTTTGGATCCGCCACTGACTTTTTCATACTTTTTTAAGGTTACATATGTAAAAGAACAATTACATCCTTTCATCATTATCGTTCATCATTATCATTACCCCAGTGCCGCAAAGGCTCCCACCTACAGTGGGGTAAGGGGGGTCGGATGTACGCAGTCTTACCCATGTACTAAAGCACAGAGAGATTGTTTCTAGATGACCCATAGTGAAAATCGCGTCAAAAATTGCATGGACTGATTGTTGCTTCATAACAAAGAAGCGCATACAGTTTAGTGAGTCCATTTGCTTTATTCCATCATATTCTCAAGCCAAAAAATAATGAGTTTTTGGCTCCATTGCAAATGATGGAATTACAATTACATCCTTTATTTTCTTAAAATCCGTGTCAAACCAAAATATATCATACATTTTAAGACAGATGGGTATTATTAGCTAAGGGATCTCATTAACCCCAAATTTTATATGTTGGGGTGCATCGGTAAGCAATCAATTGTCAAACTAGTCTTGCGAAAGACCATTCATTTTTCATTTTCATTTACCCCAGTGCCGCAAAGGCTTCCACCTACGGTGGGGTAAGGGGGTCGGATGTACGCAGTCTTACCACTGTACTAAAGCATAGAGAGACTGTTTCCGGATGACCCATAGTGAAAATCGCGTCCAAAATTGCATGGACCGACTGCTGCTCCATAAGAAAGAAGCGCAGACAGTTTAGTGAGCCATTTTGCTTTATTCCATCATAATCTCAAGCCAAAAAATAATGAATCTTTGGCTCCATTGCAAATGATGGAAATTGCGAAAGACCATTATAAAGTAAAAATAAACGATTTGACTCGTCGTGCATACCTGTGAGAGCGTGTTCCAAGCAAAGCACCAGAGAGGTCAGTTGATAAGTCCAAGCTCTTGTGGAAACTCCCATCAAAATCACCATAGAACTCAATCTGCACAACAACATCAAACATTTATCATTTCATTTATCAACTCTGAATTCCATGCAAACATACACTAATAGTCCTTTATCCTTCATTCGTATTTACTGGTAGCAGTCATGTGATTTAGTAATTAGTTTGTTTCAGGTTGGTCACTCATCTGGTTTCCAAGTCAAGCTTGACTAGATAAAATGCATGCACATTGGATTGAACTCTTAATTTGATGGAAACAAAACAGGATAACAAAGGGTTTATCTACAGTATTCTGATAAATAATTAAATATGGTCGGTTATCAGACCTGACATTTTTAAAAATATATTGAAATGCTAGGATCCACGAAGCACTTTTGAGACAGATTGTATATTAGCACTGACTAGTAGACTCAGAGACTAGAAGAGCAATGTAATAAAGCATCTAGCATGTGGTAAAGTTATATTGCTTATCTGTGAATCCTTCAAGTTCCCTTGAAAGAGAACTTATTGGACTGAAATTTATATTTTCAGAAACTCAATCAAGTAACTTACAGCATTTTTTGCTTGAAGCTTCTCTGCCCACCCATTCATTACATATGGATCGTTGACAGCTACACAGATCACTGTGTCAACTCCTTTGGCCTTAAACTTGTCAATGTTATTCTTATAGCTAGGCACATGTTGGGCTGTACAAACTCCAGTGAAAGCACCCTGAAAGATAATACTAGAACTCATAAGAACGGGAGAGAGATCGATGATTAGTGAGCCATAGCATGTCTGTTCCCTTTTCGACTCTTAATGATACAGACACATGCATACCAACAACTCCAATAATCCATTTACTGACTACTGAAAATCCAGAAATGTTTAAGAATGGAGACAGAAAATTCCAGAAGGCAAGTGAAACTAATTTTCCATCATTTCTGATGGAGCCAAAGACTCACTATTTTTTGACTTGGGGATATGATGGAATAATGTAAAAAGGCTCACTAAACCGTCTCCGCTTCCTAGTTATAAAGCAACCGTCAATTCATGCAATTTTCGACGCGGTTTTCATCACGGGTCATCCGGAAACAACCTCTCTGTGCTTTATTTTCTGGAACACAGTTAAAATTTAGCTCAGCCTATCACCCGGAGACAGATGGACAGACAGAAGTGCTAAATCGTGTTTTAGAAACGTATTTGCGTTAATTTACTTGTGAGCAGCCGAGGCAATGGATAAGGTGGCTGTCTTGGGCTGAATACTGGTATAATACTGTGTTCCAGTCTGCAGCAAGGATCTCACCATTTGAGTTGGTGTATGGCCGGCCACCTCCCACTATTCGACGGTTTGAGCGAGGTGGCATCCGTGGCAGAAGTGCTGGGCAACAGGGATGCTATGTTAATTTGACTGAAGGAAAGTTTACAGAAGGCACAACAGCGCATGGTAACTCAATCCAACAAGCATCATTGTGAGGTGGATTTCCAGGTTGGAGATAAGGTATTTTTGAAGGTCAGGCCTCATTGGCAGTCCACTTTATTCCGTCACCCCTACAACAAGCTATCCGCCAAATTCTATGACCCATTTTTTATTGAAGCACACATTAGGCCGACAGCTTATCGCCTAGTTTTACCATCTATCAGCCTAGCTTTACCATCTATCAGCCGCATCCATCCGGTCTTTCATGTATCTCAGCTACGGAAGGTGGTAGGAGATCACCTGGTAGAGAGTGAGTTACCAGAAAGTTCAGAATTGCCTGTGGGTCCCGTGTTCGAGCTTGGAAGAAATTGACAGAGACGAAGAGCTATTAGTCAAGTGGGCCAGGCAACCTAGTGACGATGCTACTTAGATGAATAGAGAAAGCTTTGTAGGCCAGTTTCCATATTTCAACCTCGGGGACAAGGTTCTTTCAAAGGAGGATGAAGTTGATAGAGAGCAGGGAGGGGCACAGGAAGCAAATCCGAGCCCCAAGCCCTTGTTGGTCTACTAGACGCAGACGAGCTTGAGCCCACATTCGTGGGCTGGTTCTAGTTATTTTAATTATTCTTTTTATTATGTTTCCTATTTTATTTTGTTGCCTAGTATGGTTTATTTAGGACTTCTATTCTTATTAGAATTAGAGGTTTCTTAAACTATTTTATTTCCTAGAATGGTTTAAATAGGACTTCTTTTCTTATTAGAATTAGAGGATTCATGTTCTATTTACTTTCCTACTAGGGTTTAATTAGGATTCCTATTATTATTAGACTTAAAGGGTCATTTAAACCCTTAAGGAGGGCTGATGGGATGATCAATTAATAATACTCCCTCCGTTCCTAAATAAACTTCCAACTTTCCTTTTTCGTCCATTCCAATTAAAACTTCCACTTTCCCTTTTTAGTAAAGAATTTGTGGTTCAAAACATTTCTTACACAGTTCTCTCTCCTCTGCACAACTCTTCACAACACAATACCCACAATCTTAAACTGTGTGCCAAACCTATTTGGAAGTTTTAATAGGAACGGAGGGAGTATTGGAGTTTGAGCTTTAAGCTTGGGCAACGGTTGCTACCGTTGATTATTTTATTTCCGCTACCACCAATGGGTATTCCCGAAAACGCATCCACATCAAAGTAGGTTAGCCACATAAATTAAAATAGCTTAGGAAACTTATCTCTCATGCTATGTTGATTATTGTGGCTTATCAGGTGGCGTTAACGCCACCCACTAGATAGAGGAAGCATAATTAGAGAAGGGACAAAAACATGTATTATAATATCATCAATATTATAATATTATACTCCCTCTGTCCCATATAGAGGTTCCCGGTTCAGTTTACAATGCTTGACTGACGATAAAGCAATTTGATCCCTATTCACACTCCGATTATTTTTAGAAAACAAAATTTACATATTCAGAAACTACATTAAAGTCGCTACAAAGGTTAATAAAAAATATGTAAATTTCATAAAAATTTGATATATAAAGCAAAAGGTTAAGAATGATTTAAGTTGACCATGTGAATAGTGGACGAGAACCTTTAAATGGGACGGAGGGAGTAATATTGATAACATCGATAAATATTATCAATATTTATTGTATTGATAATATTATAATATTATAATATAACAATATTGATAAATGATAACATCGATAAATATTAACAATATTTATTGTATTGGTTAATATTAGAATGTAATTTGAATACAAAAAGAGGATGACTATAAATCCTTGAATAAGAATTAGATTAGGCCTGCTATTTGGCAATATATGTGATCTGTTTTAGGTTTGTGCTTTACTGTCTAAACAGTTTCTGTTACTACAAGTTACAACTTACAAGAAATCTATTTCTTCTGTAATTTCAAGATATCTCAGTTGGGAAACTGAACTGCAAATTTATTCTAAATTTCTATTCACCTTCCTGCCGAGAACTCCGTGAAAGGGTTGGAAACAGGCCTGCTGTTTACATAACGAGCTAGGGCCATACGGGCTTCTTAGGGTTCAAATGATAGGTGATAGGTGGCATATATTCCAATAATCATATACTCCCTCCGTCCCTGAAAATACTTCCAACTTTCCCTTTTCGTCCGTCCCAAAAAGAACTTTCTCTTTCCCTTTTTGGCAAAGAATTTGTGGTTCACAGCAATTCTTACACATTTCTCTCTCCTCTGCACAACTTTAAACCACACAAAACTCACTTTCTTAATCCGTGTGTCATTTGTACTACGGAAGTAAATTATGGGACGGAGAGAGTATCAAGTTTGGTTCAACAACAGAATGAAGGATTGAACGTGCAGTATGTTGTGCGATTACAGATCACCCATCATGGCATCATCTAAACTCTAAGATGCTCCTAGGCCTACCGCCCCCAGTTTCCTTCTATAACCATACTTCATTGCTCTCGTTTTCCAGCCTCTTTTTCATGGTTCCAAACACCTCAGACGGATCATTACAATTAACTACCATTGTGTACCAAATTACCAATACACAATAACAGAAGCGTACACAACGTGATTACTTAATCGGGAAATGACATTTATAAGGCGACAGTAAAAGTGATATAAAACCGATCAGGATATTAAAGAAAATATGTACCGGAAGTCCGAAGATAACAACTTTTTTGTCCTGAAAAAAAAAAAGACAATGCAAATTTAGAAACCCTAAAGAGCAAGAAGGCGCTATTTACAATCAAGGTAATAACCCAAATTAAACGGAAGGGATTCCATACCTTGAAGATGTCTTTGAGAAGGGTAGTAGAGAACTTGGAGGAGACGCCTTCGTCCCAAGTGCGAGCTTTCTGGAGAGAGACATTGGGGGCGCCGGATACCAGATCCGTACCCACTGCAACCGAAGCATATGACCTCAATCTGTTGATCATTGAATTCAACATCGTCGTCCGTTTAAGCATAGCTGCAGCCATGACTAGTACTTCTGCTGCTCGTCAGGTCTTTGATGTATTGTGTGGGGCGACTGCAGTGGGGAGCAGAAAAACGCAAGGGTCGAAACTTAGGGAGCCTTTCTTCTGATTTTTTAAAGTGATGCTTGAGTTTTCAATTTTCATAACATACTTTTTGATTTAGAAGAACAACATAAAAAGGAAAATGATGTATATTTATTTTTAAACACTACATTATCACTTGTATAAATATCACATTTGAAAATTACAATTGAGAATTGTTTAAAGTTGAAAATTATAATACATGAACTATTCGTTAGAGACGCTTCCGGTGTTGGTTATCATTTCCTCTATTAAACGACGGTCCGCTGCTATGTTGACTTTTGGTGTTCTACGGTGGGCCTTCAACAGTTCAACCAATAATGGAAGCAAATGAGTGTCTCAAAAGATAAAGCCATTAACCTCGTTCTATAGTCAGTCAAAATATTACCGGCTTCGCTAAACTATTGTTCAACGACAACGGTTGAAATCGGCATTGACAACACTTGTTTGATCATTTTTTATAAAACCGGAAAGATTTGAAATGCCACTTTTCAATAATCATATGATTTGATCTGAATAAATTCAAACTAAAGACATAAAATGTCTTTGTTACAATATTGGAAGGACTAAAAGTGAAACAATTCAAATATAAATATAAAAGTATCACTACACAATAATAGAAAGACTAAAAGTGATAAAACTCTTGGAATTTGCAGCACAAATTTGGGTGTGCATCTTATTTTTACCATTTTTTTAATATTTAGGATATAAATAAATATTACTCCCTTTGTCCCGCTAATATTGTTGATGGATTATAGAGGTATCCAAACTATAATAAAATGGAGAGATTTGAGCTAATGTGAGGAAGAAGATGAAAGAATAGTAATGTATGAATGAGTTGTGAAGTAGGTTTACAAGAACTCCCTAACGGAGTATATATAGAAGAATATCAGGGTTTGGGCCTCTAATATGGGCCTGACAGACCCGGTTACATAAATGGACTCATAATATAAAAGGCTAATCTAGAACACCTAAATAATAATAATGTACAATAATGAAAATGTTATCAGCTGAGTGTACGTGGGCCGCTGTCCGAGCCCAATAGTCGTGAGACCCGGGGGTCCGAGTCTATATACTCCATCAGGAGTCCCCCACTCCCTGAGTCGAGAGTACTCGAGGCGAAAGGGAGTAGAACTGTGTGTTGATCTATCGTCTGATGAGTAAACTTCGTGAAATTTTTTGAACTTCTGCTTCTTTGGCTAACGGAGGTGCTAAGTCCCCCGCTCTTCCAGTCCCCCACTCCTTGAGGTGAATGTAGTGAGGTGAAGAGGAGTAGAGCAGTGCATGTCTCGTTATGTCTTCAATAGGGGGCCGAGGGTCGACGCCTTTTGATCCACAATGGGGAGATGCCTCGTTAAAAACCTCATTAGGAAAAAACCCAGTGGGAAAAAATCCTAATGAGGGAGAAAGGGTACACCGGATGCCCCCAAAATGAAGCAAAAGGGGTGAGCCCTTCGACCTAGGTGTGGAGCTGCAACGGTGTCCGTCTGCTGAGGGGATGGCCGAGACCAGTCTCTAGATGTGAGTAGCTCGGCATGATAAGTAGTCATAGTCATCAAATAAAGATGACTAAGAGATAGATCGAGTGACCGTCCATAATGTGATGTCCGGGTCATCAAATAAAGTGACCGAGACATGTGGTCGAGAGGCCTATAAGAAGTCCAAGCCATCAAATAAAGATGACCAGGCGAGACGGCCAAGTGGCCGGTATGATGAGCTCCACGTCATCAAATAAAGATGACGGGGCGATGCATGGCCGAGGTGCCCGGATGAGAGTTCCACGTCATAAAATAAAGATGACGGGGCGATGTATGGCCGAGAGGCCTGTATGAGAGCTCCACGTCATCAAATAAAGATGTCAGGGCGATGTATGGTCGAGGGGCCTGTATGAGATCCACGTCATCAAATAAAGATGATGGGTCGATATATGGCCGATGGGCCTATACAAGAACTCCACGCCATCACATAAAGATGGCGGGGCGATGTGCGGCCGAGAGGCCTGTAGGAGAGCTCCACGTCATCAAATAAAGACGACTGGGAGGCTAACGGCCGAGAGGCCTGTATGAGAGTTCCACGTCGTCGAATAAGGACGACGGGGCGCTGTATGGCCGAGGGGCCTGCATAAGAGCTCCACGTTGTCAAATAAAGACGACTAGGAGGCTAACGGCCGAGAGGCCTGTATGAGAGTTCCACATCGTCGAATAAGGATGACGGGACGTTGTATGGCCGAGGGGCCTGCATAAGAGCTCCACGTCGTCAAATAAAGACGACGGGGCAATGCATGACGAGAGGCCTATATGAGAGCGCCATGTCATCAAATAAAGATGACGGGGCGATAAAATGGCCGATGGGCCCGTAAATAAGTTTCGCGTCATCAAATAAAGATGACAGAGCGATATATGGCCGATGGACATGTAGATGAGCTTCGCGTCATCAAATAAAGATGACAGAGCGATATATGGCCGATGGGCCTGTAGATGAGCTCTTCGTCATCAAATAAAGATGGCAGAGCGATATATGGCCGATGGGACTGTAGATGAGCTCTTCGTCATCAAATAAAGATGGCAGAGCGATATATGGCCGACGGGACTGTAGATGAGCTCTTCGTCATCAAATAAAGATGACCGAGCAATATATGGCCGATTGGCCTGTAGATGAGCTCGTCGTCATCAAATAAAGATGACCGAGCAATATATGGCTGATTGGCCTGTAGATGAGCTCTTCATCATCAAATAAAGATGACAGATCGATATATGGCCGATGGGCCTGTAGATGAGCTCTTCGTCATCAAATAAAGATGACAGAGCAATATATGGCTGAACTCTGGGCTCCTTTAGCTTTTTAGCCGGAGACCGCAAGACGTTCGCTATATCTGAATAGGGGGATGAGGCGGTGGACGCCGGTCTGAATATGAGGACGACGACGCTGATGAGTCGGTCCGAATATGCGGACGACAGCGCTGACGAGCCGGTCCGAATATGAGGATGAGGCAATGATAAGCCGTGTGTCATAGGAAGGCGACGGTCACCATCCAGGAAGGGATTGCCGAGCCTGGTCGCTAGATAAGGACTTCAGCGCTGGGGCCGGTCTAAATGTGAGGACGAGGCGATGATAAGCCGTGCATCATATAGGGGCGACGGTCGCCGTCCGGGAAGGGATGGCGAGCCCAATCGCTATAACAAGACTTCGGCGCTCGGAGCCGGTCTTGAGATAAATAATCACGTCGCGGCCGAGAGGCTGACCGCGATGTGCGGATGACAATGATGAGGATCCAGTCCGAAATATGATGATGAGGCAATGATGGAGCCGATCGTCATATAGAGGCGATAGTCACCATCCAGGAGGGGATGGCGAGCCTCATCGCTAGCCCAACACACTCGGCGCTGATGAAGCCGGTGTTGGGATAGGGTGTGACGTCGTGGCCGAGGGGCCGATCGTGATGCGAGGTCGTCAGCAGTATGAGGCTGATCCAAAAGTCCAAGCAGCGGTCGCCATCCGATGAAGGAATGACTGAGACCGGTCTTGGGGATAGATAATCACGCCGAGGCCGAGGGGCCGATCGTGATGTGCGGACGGAGATGATGAGCCAATCCGATAATATGATGACGAGGCAAGAATGAAGCCGATCGTCATATAAGGGCGATGGTCACCATCCAGGAAGGGATGGCGAGCCCAATCGCTAGCTCAAGACTCTCGGCGCTGAGGAAGCCGGTCTTGAGATAGATAGTCACGTCGAGGGCAGGGGGCCGGTCGTGATGCGCGGATGGCGATGAAAAGAGCCAATCAAAAATATGATGACAAGGCAATGATGAGTCGTCCGTCATATAGAGGCGATGGTCACCATCCAGGAAGGGATGGCGAGCCCGATCGCTGGCTCAAGACTCTCGGCGCTGAGGAAGCCGGACTTGAGATAGATAATCATGCCGAGGCCGAGGGGCCGGTCGTGATGTCTGGATGGCAATGCTGAGAAGCTGATCCGATAATATGATGACGGGGCGATGATGAGTCAGCAATCATATAGAGGCGATGGTCACCATCCAGGAAGGGATGGTGAGCCCAATCGCTAGCTCAAGATCGCGTTGAGACCGAGGGTTCTGCCGCGATGTGAGGATGACGACGATGATGTGCCGCTCCAATAAATGATTACGAGACCATGATGGGCCAATCGTCATATAAAGGCAACGGTCACCATCCAGGAAGGGATGGTGAGCCCGATCGCTAGCTCAAGACTCTCGGCGCTGAGGAAGCCGGTCTTGAGATAGATAATCACGCCGAGGCCGAGGGGCCGGTCGTGATGTCCGGATGGCAATGCTAAGAAACCGATCCGATAATATGATGACGGGGCGATGATGAGCCAGCCGTCATATAGAGGCGAAGGTCACCATCCAGGAAGGGATGGTGAGCCCAATCGCTAGCTCAAGATCGCGTTGAGACCGAGGGGTCTGCCGCGATGTGAGGATGACGGCGATGATGAGCCGTTCCAATAAATGATGACGAGGCCATGATGGGCCAATCGTCATATAAAGGCGACGGTCACCATCCAGGAAGGGATGGTGAGCCCGATCGCTAGCTCAAGACTCTCAGCGCTGAGGAAGCCGGTCTTGAGATAGATAATCACGCCAAGGCCGAGGGGCCGGTCGTGATGTCCAGATGGCAATGCTGAGAAGCCGATCCAATAATATGATGACGAGGCGATGATGATCCAGCCGTCATATAGAGGCGATGGTCACCATCCAGGAAGGGATGGTGAGTCCAATCGTTAGCTCAAGATCGCGTTGAGACCGAGGGGTCTGTCGTGATGTGAGGATGACGACGATGATGAGTCGTTCCAATAATTGATGACGAGGACATGATGGGCCAATCGTCATATAAAGGCGACGGTCACCATCCAGGAAGGGATGGTGAGCCCGATCGCTAGCTCAAGACTCTCGGCGCTGAGGAAGCTGATCTTGAGATAGATAATCACGCCGAGGTCGAGGGTCCGGTCGTGATGTCCAGATGGCAATGCTGAGAAGCCGGTCCAATAATATGATGACGGGGCGATGATGAGCCAGCCGTCATATAGAGGCGATGGTCACCATCCAGGAAGGGATGGTGAGCCCAATCGCTAGCTCAAGATCACGTTGAGACCGAGGGGTCTGCCGCAATGTGAGGATGACGGCGATGATGAGCCGTTCCAATAAATGATGACGAGGCCATGATGGGCCAATCGTCATATAAAGGTGACGGTCACCATCCAGGAAGGGATGGTGAGCCCGATCGGTAGTTCAAGACTCTCGGCGCTGAGGAAGCTGGTCTTGAGATAGATAATCACATCGAGGCCGAGGGGCCGGTCGTGATGTCCGGATGGCAATGCTGAGAAGCTGATCCAATAATATGATGACAGGGCGATGATGAGCCAGCCATCATATAGAGGCGATGGTCACCATCCAGGAAGGGATGGTGAGCCCAATCGCTAGCTCAAGATCGCGTTGAGACCGAGGGGTCTGCCGCGATGCGAGGATGACGGCAATGATAAGTCGTTCCAATAAATGATGACGAGGCGATGATGGAAGCCGATCATCATATAAAGGCGAAGGTCGCTTATCCGGGAGGGGAATAGCGAGCCTAATCGCTAGCTCAAGACTCTCGGCGCTGAGGGAGCCGGTCTTGAGGTAGATAGTCATGCCGAGGCCGAGGGGCCGGTCGTGATGCGCGGATGGCGATGAAAAGAGCCAATCCGAAATATGATGACGGGGCAATGATGAGCCAGCCGCCATATAGAGGCGATGGTCACCATCCAGGAAGGGATGGCGAGCCCAATCGCTAGCTCAAACCTCTCGGCGTTGAGGAAGCCGGTCTTGAGATAGATAATCACACCGAGACCGAGGGGCCAGCGTGATGCACGGATGGCAATGCTGAGAAGCCGATCCGATAATATGATGACGGGGTGATGATGGGCCGGCCATCATATAGAGGCGATGGTCACCATCCAGGAAGGGACGGCGAGCCCGATCGCTGGCTCAAGACTCTCGGTGCTGGGGAAGCCGGTCTTGAGATAGATAATCATGCCGAGGCCGAGGGGCCGGTCGTGATATGAGGAAGGGTAAGGCGTTGGTGTCGGACTGAACATGAAGGACGGTGGAGCTGGTCCGAAGATGAGGGACGGCGCTGGGCGCTCGTCTGAAGATGAGGGACGGCGCTGGGCGCTCGTCTAAGGGACGGCGCTGGGCGCTCGTCTAAGGGACGGCGTTGGGCGCTCGACTGAGATGATGGACGGCGCTGGGCGCTCGTCTGAGATGGTGGACGACGCTGGGCGCTCGTCTGAGATGATGGACGGCGCTGGGCGCTCGTCTGAGATGATGGACGGCGCTGGGCGCTCGTCTGAGATGATGGACGGCGCTGGGCGCTCATCTGAGATGATGGACGGCGTTGGTCGCTCGTCCGAGATGATGGACGACGCTGGGCGCTCGTCCGAGATGATGGACGGCGTTGGGCGCTCGTCTGAAGATGAGGGACGGCGTTGGGCGCTCGTCTGAAATGATGGACGACGCTGGGCGCTCGTCTGAGAAATGAGGGACGGCGCTGGGCGCTCGTCTGAAGATGAGGGACGGCGCTGGGCGCTCGTCTGATATGTATAGTATTTGTCTGATATGTACTTAGCCAAATTTTGGGGATTTTATTTTTCATTGCTCGAGGCCGGCGAGTGCACACTCCTCGGCTTCCCTCTTTTTTTTTTTTGTTCCCTATTTCGGGGAGATATATGAAAGAATAGTAATGTATGAATGGGTTGTGAATTAGGTTTACAAGAACTCCCTAAGGGAGTATATACAGAAGAATATCCGGGTCTGGGCCTCTAATATGGGCCTGACAGACCCGGTTACATAAATGGACTCATAATATAAAAGGCTAATCTAGAACACCTGAATAATAATAATAATGTACAATAATGAAAATGCTATCAGCTGAGTGTACATGGGCCGCTGTCCGGGCCCAATAGTCGTGAGACCCGGGGGTCCGAGTCTATATACTCCATCAATTGTTCTACTACCTCTGTCCCAAATTGATTTGCAAATTTGATTTTTCTTGGTCAAACAGTTTCATTTTAATTGCTTAATTAGAATGTCAATTTTTAATTATATTCTAATTTGGAGTTTGCAACTTTGAAAAGATTTTAATGTAGTTTCTGAATATTTAAATTTTTAGTATTAAAAATTGAGTTATTTATCTAGGAAGGATTGCCTTTTGTTATTGATTGACAAAAAAAAGTTGACTTTGCAAAACAATCTGGGACGGAGGGAGTATTATGCTTTTTTCGGGAAATTCCACTAAAATTGTTTCATACCAAATCTGGTAAAGTTTGTGTGAGTCTAAATATTCTTACTCTTTCATTAATATGAACCATCGAACCCAAATTTTCTTAATAACCGTATCGCCCTTTATTCATCTCAATATTAGTGGAAGAGAGGTATACTTACTTAAAAAGTGAGGTGCAATTAGAGATGACAATTGTGACTGAACCGATGGATACCCGCGTCGAACCGCCCCGATCAAAACGGATAAAACCACATTGACCGGGTAACGGGGTATGGAGCGGGGAATACCCGTTTTGTTTTACGGGTAATGAGGCTGTTTATGTGTAGTTATATTTTTGATATATTTTTATCTATTATTTGTCTCACAACTATTAAAAGATGAGATTTGTTTCTTACCATTGTGTATATATAGATAATAAATGTACTAACTATAATGTATAAATGGAAGTTCGTAATAGATTTAATTGTCTTGTTTGATTATTATCATATTTTTTTCGTGATTAATTATTTTTAGATTAAGTATTTTTAGTTTCAAATTAATTTAAGTTGTTCCCTTTCTCGTCTTGTAGATATACGAATCTTTAAAGTGACAACTGAAGTGTAGAGTGGTCTATGCGATATCATTCTTCGCCTTTTAAAATATTATTTTTTATAACAAAATTTAATGACTCAATTAAGAAAGTGGTTACCCAGGGTTACTCGAAGTTTTACCCGTTACCCGTTGGAGGGGTTATGGGTTGGGTAAAAATTACCCGTTGGGTAATGGGCGGTTACGGGGCGGGGAAATTACCCAACGGGGCGGTTGCGATTATATGTAAAACCGTCCCACATCCACCCGTTGCCATCCTAAGACTATTTGTAGTGGTTAGGAGTCCAAGTTGTTAAATTTGGACTCCGTCCATATGAAAACAGTGTTTTGACTCTGTCAATACTGTTTTCCCTGGATCCGTGTACCATCAATAAAATACACTCAACATATTTTTTTACATATTAATTTAGTAAAACATTAATTAATTTATTATAAGTAATGTTTTCCATTTAATATTTCCCCTAAATAATTGTGAAATAAAAAATACACATTTCGATGTTAAAGTAAATAAATTTCATTAATTTGTTTTTAATGTTTTCGGTTAACAAAAATGAACTTAGTTCAAGTAAAGTTCGATTATAAAATATTCAGTTATTTGTGAAGATTCCATGAATTAAAATTTTGTGTTTCATCGTTTTTTAAACTGAAGAAAACTTCAACAATTAACACTTAAGAATTTGTGTTTCATTTTATATACTCCCTCCGTCCCCCTAATATTGGTACAGAAGGGAGTGATGTGGGTTTCAAGGAAAGTAGAATTATGTGGTTGCAAATGAGTTGATAAAGTGAAAATAAAGTAAGAATGAATTAGAGTCACACAAATGTTACCAAATATGATATGAGACAATAATAATGGGACATCCAAAAATGGAAAAATGGGACAATTATAGAGGGACGGAGGGAATATTACATTTTGGTGTCATATGAAAAATCACAAAAATTTATGAACTTTGATATATTTTTTGAAAAAATTGAAGAACAAATAAAAAAGTTACAAGAGTTTAAAATTAATTGGGGTTTTAATGACGTCAGCGTGACGTCAGCAGAACCAAGAACAAGGCATGGCCGGCAGCTCTTTCTTGTTTCTTTTCTTTTTCGTTTTCTTTTACTCTCTCAACTCAATCTTCTATTTTTACACTCTTCCACTTCCCTTCCCACTTTTACTCCCCTTTTAATCCTCCAATACATTCAATTAAGAGCCTGTTTGGCAGCACGAAAATCGGCTGTTCTTGCTGATTCTGCTGAAATTTATAAAGTTCTGGCTGAAGTGGCTGCATTGGCTGATTCTGCTGATACAAGAAAAAAATATTTTTAAAATATATTTTATTAATAAACTAAAGAAAAAATTATATGTAAAAATAGCTAAAATGGTCATCTACAGTAACTTCAGACAATACACCCAGAAAAGTAACTCTAACCTTACTTTTTCGGCTTATTACACAATTCAGTGCGCGAAAGCAAAATTTACGTGTTTGGTAAAAAAGTTGGCTGATAAGCCTGATAAGCCGAAAATGAGGGTTGCCAAACAGCCTCTAAGAGTTTAAAAGTTCCATTTTTAATTCTTTGACTCCTAATCTTTAACCACTACAAATGTTCTATAACTATATTTGGTAGACATAAATCTCTGCCTTCTAACTTTTGTACTATTCAAAAAGTCTCTAAAAGCTTTTAGTTGTATGTTTGGCATGACAATATTTAAAAGCTTTTCAAAAATTAAAAGATCTTTTTTGAAATGCTATAGGGAGTAACATCTGAGAAAAGCCCGTGACTTTTAGTATTAATTAACCATAACAGATTGTAAATCAAACCGAACTAAATCAAACAGTCAACTTTTAACCAAACAACTACCACATTTTCTTTTTAAGATCTTTTCAATCATTAAAAACTAAGAGTTATTAAAAAGCTCACAAAAGTATCTTTTCAACTAATTATGGGAGCCCAATGATTACCTAATTGTGTGAAAGTGACTTACCCGGAGATATCGATGAATCATGGTTTTGTAGGTTATTTTGTTTTTTTCGTTTGTTCGCACCGAAACATTACTCCAGAGATTTATAGTTGCAAAAATTGAAACTCTCAAATTTATTCTGTAACGGTCCTCTTCGCGCCATCTTTTGCTGATACGGGGACTCAGGTGGACAGTCAAGCACCCGCCGGAGGCGGCTCAGCCTCTGTTTTATTCCCTTCCCCAGTCGCCTACGACCAGGACCAAATCGAGAGCACTAAGACCTTGATTTGTGCCCTTAATTTACTATCCCGCAATCTCCCCCTCCCTCAAGACGTTTTTGATGCTGTTTCCTCCATCTTTTTCGCGGAGGAGGATGAAGCGGATGAAGACAGCGCCATGGAGAACTCGTCCAGCCAAGTGAGCTCCTTTTCTCTGCTTTTACAAGATTTGGATTTTAATTCTGTGAGATTTCTTGACAGGTTTCTATACGGGGCGGACCCAGTAAAGTCATTTTGGGGCGGAAATATTTTTGGGGGTTCAAAATACTTTTTGGAAGAGCAAAAATTATTTTTCGTATATATACACTAAAAAAAATTTGTTGGGGCGGTAGCCCCTTGGTCTCTAATAGGGTCCGCCCATGTTTCTATATTTATGTAGACTATGCATGTTACTGTGAATTGTAATGAAGGGAAAATCAGTACATGTACTTAAGCTGAGGTTACGCATACATCTATATCAATTGACTTGTTACATAAATACCTGCATTTTCTCTTAATCTCAATAAAAGAAATGTATCCCGTAGAAAATTGCAGCAGTAGCAGAAGAAAAATGCTCTTAGGGAGATCAAGATGAACTACATTCAATTTGAGACATCCTAGAATGCATCTGAGACTGATCTTATTGTAACTTTTTGGCAAACTAACAAACAAAGGCGAAAATGTGCTGATGTGCAGCCTAAAAAGAATATACTGATGAACTCTAAAAATGAGGAAGAATTGAAGATTAGATTGATGATTGATCCTGTCTCTGCCTTTCTGGCGGTGCTAGTAGTAAAGCAACTAACCATCTTATTCTAGCTGTTCAATCCGAAAACCTTAGCTTTATTTACGTATACACTCATGCTTGTTAACATAAAAAATAGTCTCCATATGTCTATGTACTGCTTCGCTTGCTCTGAGTTTTGCTTGGTTGGCTTGCTTCATTCATAAAATGATAGAGCTGATCGAACTATTCAGGTGGCTGGAGCTAATTAGTCCACCGGAGGCAGGAGCTAATTGGTCCACATTCCATAGTTGCTTTTAAATGCCAGACTGTTGATTTATTTTGGTATTTATTTGATTCCATGCTTCATCTACTAGGGTCGAATTTATTTCATTATAAATAAAAACTTTCAGATGGTATCCTTTTGCAACAAGGGAGACTTGTCAGAGCTCAGACTGGGTGTTTGTTTTTTCAATATGGGGCATTTGATATATATGCAGACATAAGGATGCAAAGGTTCCCTGAACTCATTTAAAAGAATGCCATCTTTTACTGAATTTGATTGATTGGATATATGTTAAAGATGTTTATTTGAGACATCTAAAACACGTGTCACTCATATTTTGACTGGTTTTGGAAATTGCTATATGAGGCAATAATCAATCACTAGTTATTTGCCAATCAATTTTTTATTTGTTAAGTTTTGGTATTCATTCTATTTTCAGTGCAATTTCAGATTTTCAGTTATTTCGTTTTGAGTTTTACTGAGTTGTAGGCTTCTAGCCTATGTAAACTTTAATTTGGAATGAATCATGAAGCCAGACTCCATTCACGAGAAAGGAGTTTGGGAGCATAAAATCAAATTCTCTCATCTTGTGGTCTTTGTTTACATTACAGCAAGTTCTTTTAGCACAGACACCCTCACCCGTATGACTGCTACAGAAATTAGTTACCATAAGCAAGTGCTGCCTGTCTGCAGCCTCAGTGAATTGCAAAGAAATGTATGTGGCGAGTAGCTACGCCCTTGATCATAACAACTATATTTGAATGTAACTGCGTAATGCAGGTGTCAGGAATCAGACCAATGTATCATTATATAGTTGAGCCTCCTGTTATGACAGAAATGAATAGGTATATATAGGTGTTTGGACTCTAGTGGACAGCTAGGGGAAAACCTTTTGATTGATTCTCGCCTTTTCTCAAGTCTGACCAGCTTACAGATTTGCAACGGTAGTGGGACAAGTGTGTGACTTGCAAGGGTTGGACACTTAATGGTTGCTGCACATGTCTTTTTGTCACGCAGTTGTACCAGGTTGACTTTTCTTCTGTTAGACGAGCACACAGGTTAAGCCTACTGGACTCGACCAAGTCATATGGATTTGGGCTTCTTCATGGGTTCTGTTGAGCTGGTTGTACTGTTGTAGGCCATCTGGTTTTTGGACTTGGACTGTAATCCAGCACTTAGATTTTCTTTCTTGAATCTTATGAGTGTTGTAGAAAAGTTGTTATTTAACTTTTCAATTATCATCAGATTGATAGGTGTTTACAAGGCTTTAGTTGATCATTTCTTAGTGCTACTAAACATATAGAAGGTTATGCTTGCAATTTTATATGTTCTTTTATAAAGAAATTTGTTTCTTCCCTAAAAATGGAAAATGTACATAATGGTATTATATGCTGCTTATCCGTATTCCCTACTAATTATGTGCATGGTTATTTTCAAAGGAAACTCGATCTGGGATCAAATTAAGTAAACATATTGCTTTTATTTCTCTCACGAGTTTATTACTTTCTTTATATTTAAAGTGTGTATCTGCGTTTTAGATTGGTTCTGGCATGGAAACTTATGGAGAACTGATGGCAGATTTTGAGGATTCATTATTCAAAGAAAAATCTAGCCATACATCAGGTTCTGCATTGAAAAGATCGAAGGAATTACGTCATGAGAGCCACATGCATAGTCGCTTGGTTGAACTTGAAGGTAAGTAGCTTGCAAAGCTGGTTGCATCAGATTGATGTTAGTATTCTATAATTAACTTGGTGTGTCTTCTCTTCTGTAAATAACTAAAGATCCCTAATCTACTCGACTACTTGTATAAATACTAAAGGTTTTGCATGAAAACCATATGATTGATGCTCTGTATTAAATTCTCCATTAGTTACAACTTTATCTATATACAAGTATCATTTATACACATCAACAAATCTGCAATCCATTTTCATATATAACCAGATTTGCCAACTAGCAGAGGCGAGGACCTGCAGTTGAAGTGCTTGATCGAACTTTATGGATTAAAGGTAAAGTGGAGTTCCTCTGTCTAAGTAAATTATTTCAGCATTTGTTTTTTCAAATTTATATCAGACAGTGGGTTGTTATTTGTTATCATATTTAGCAGAACTTGTCATCTTATCTTATTAACTTATTAAACATAATGGAAGTATGCAGGACTACAACTATTAATTAATATCTGAAGTTTATTTGGTCTAACCATAATTTAAAGGTGTTAATTATATATATATATATATATACACACACACATAAATGATTTATACGTTTAATTTCATAAATTTCATTTGTATGCTAGGAAGGCAATACACCTCAATAGTGAGGAAATAGGTTGTTCCGTATTTTAAGTTTTTTAACAAGTCAGAATTAACAAGGACGCCCTTTACCATTTCAATATCTGAGGATTGCCATAATAAATTAGTGCTTATACAATTTGTTGCTATGTTGTTAATAACTCCAAGGATGCCATTAAGTGTTGCTAGAAATGAGGAATTGGAGTGAATTTTACTTATGGGAAGAGGCTTATATTCAACGTAAGTTTATATAGACATCTTTGGACATTTAGGATACAGATACACATGCACCTTGAGCTGACTTAATGAAAGTAAAGGTTGCTCGAGGCAGTTGTGAGTTGTTACTCTTCTGCGGAAGTTATGACCTGTGTCATCTATAAGACAATAAGATACTATTTATGTCCTACAACCATGATAGATTCCCTACGATATAGATATACTTCCACACCTTTCCTCAACTTGGAGCATTGTATGATAGGTAATGGAAGAATCCCAGTAGAAAATCGTAGTATATTAATGAAGATTTAATGATGGAATACAGAAAATAACTAAAGAAAAGGTTGAGACTCTTCGAGTGGTCTCACACTCCCAAATTCCCAGTCCCGACCCCAAAATTCTTCCTCCCCATCTACTCACCACTCACACTTATTTATTCTATTTCTAATGGCCAGCCCACTTCTATTTAGTTAGTGGGCCTAAAACCCTATCATTGAACAATATTAAAATTACTTCATAAGACTCTAATTATTGGTAGTGTCCGGGTCACTAACATTGCACATGCTCTTTCCAGAGATATATCTATTAATTGTTTAGTTGTGCAACAAATGAAGTAATGAACTAATGATGTCTCCAAAAGTGGCATGTTCTTTTTAGAGTGAGTAGTGTCAAACAACTTCAATATTCAAATGTGTTGTGCTGCATGATTACCAGAAGGCAGAAACCAACTTCACAGGTCTAGGTTTGCAAAATATGAGTTCTATAAGGAGATAATTTACCCAAATTAGTTCATATGTCCCAAGTGTGAGTCACATCTTATTTAATGCTTTTCCACAATATTATGTTTTTGCCAAAGAGAGTATAGCATCTTGATGTTGATCACATGTCCTATGAACATCCAACATAGTATGTGGTTTTCATGATTCTCAAATGGTAAAAAGTTCAAAGACACGTCTTAATAAAATTGAGGGTTTTGATGAGGACGTCTCACTAACTTTTGTTTGTACTACTTTTTCAGCTCACAGAATTACAGCGCAAAGTTCGTTCTGAAGTGAGTTCAGAGTACTGGCTTCGTGTGTATTGCTCTAATCCTGATGAGCAGTTATTTGACTTGGGTATGATGCGATTGAGCCACCCTATATATGGAATTGGAGATGCTTTTGCTGTTGAATCTGATGATCCCTTGAAGAAGAAGCGTGACGCTGAGGTGATATGTTCTGCAAAGTCCATTCATTTGAAGCTCATTTAGTTTTAAATGATGCAAAACCATCTGATTATGTGTGCGTGTGGTGTATTTATATATGTGCATCATGTCTGTATTTTCTTTTACTTATATTATAGTAAATCTGCGCACTCGATAGTATAATGATTATAATTCAATTGCAGAGAAGTTATTTTCAATATAAATGCATTTGCTGCATGATGTTTTCTATGATTTATGACTGCAAGTGTACTCGTTTCCCCTTAGTAAGTGATATCATATATATTGTCAAAAACAGAACCACCACTTTCAAAGTGTCCAACCTTAAAAAATCCAGCGCTTTTCCTCCACGTCTTTGGATCATATTCTTTGTTCTGTGTCTGTAACACCCCTAAATTTCCCGCCCAAAACATTGATATATTTAAAAGAAATACTTTATTCATTTATTAAAGAGTTGAAGATATACAGCGGAAGTCTAAAAGGGAAATGAGTGTTACTGCCACATTCGGTCATCTCTTAACCGAATGCACAGGCAACTCAAAGTAAAACAATAAAAACTAATGTAATAATAAGTGAATGTTAATTTCATGACTAGATTTAACTAAGGCATCTTCTAATTCGCACTCAAGCTCGAGCAATCCATCAATCCACATAGGTATCCAACTCATCACCTGATAAAATTTAAGGGAGAAGAGAGAGAAGAGAAATAACAAAAATTAGCTTTAGAGCTAAGTAAGTACTACCCAACCCCGTAAAATAATCAGGTTTGACAAAAATAGATTTTTATATAATATCATATAAAAATGACGCACTCCACCAAAATACTTTTCTCCTTGATTTTTCTTAAAATCACTTCTTTGCTAAAATCTTAACCTTCTCTTGGAAAATCTCTTAGTACTTCTTCTCTTTAAACTTCTTAAGAAAATCACTTCTTCTCTTTAAACTTCTTAACAAAATCACTTCTTCTCTAACTTCCTAGTAATTTAGAAGGGCGGTGCTTAACCTTTCGGTAGAGCCCGGTGGACCGTGGTTACGGACGGCCACCCCGAACAAGTGCCGGTACCACAACTGCTCTGTTGGAAACGAAACGACTACCTTAAGTGTGCACACCCCCTAAAAGGGATTCCAAGCCCTCCGAGTAGTAAGTCATCCCGAGTGGTCGGAACCCAACCACCCCAATTCTAAAATTCTTGAATGATTAGGGACTACTACTATAACTTCTTCTTAAAAGGGATCATAGATCCAAATCTCACTTAAAAGGTATCATAGATCCAAATCTTACTTAAAAGGGATCATAGATCCAAACTGTACTTCTTAGTAGTAGTAGCTCTAATCACCCTCCACATTTATCCGGATGTGGAAAAACCGACACCTCGGATTACTCCCGAGATGCTCACTTCTTATGAAAATGTAAATTTTATCTTCGCTTAATAATACTTCAAAAATACTTCTTAATTTCTCTAAAAAGTCTCGAAGGTATTTAAAAATATTTAATACCCCAAAAATACTTGATTTATACTTCTTAACTACCATATATATAATATCTTCTCAAAATCACATACACAAAGTTCACAAATCACACTTAATCACATAATGCATAATAAGCATATAATACGAGGAAACAATTTTGGATTGGCAGAGAAACTTACCTTAATTCCTGATGCTCCTAGTTATCCTCCTCTAATCTGGTCTCTAGACAATCACCTTTTTAATTAAATATGATAAAATTAGTCACTTATTCTATTTGTAATTACTTTACCCGATTTTCTCCTTTTATTTTATTATTCGAATTTATTAACTTAATTTATTAATTATCCGAATTTATTTGATTACTCACTTTCTATTAATAAAATTACCTTAATAATTTTATCCATTAATTTTCAATATTTGAAATAAAATATCTGAATATAATTGACTACAACATCCAATTTTTATTCAATAATCCCTATTAATATTAATATTTCCTTATTTAATTACTTAACTAGTTTTATATGGCGTAATTTAAATAAATAGACTAAGAATCGACTTTATAAATTAAAAACCGTCTATAACTATATTTTGGGTCTATATTTGACCTAGGTTGTCCAGATATCTATTTTATAATTATTTTCCATAATTATTCCTTTAATTTCATATATGTATTAACCGATTCGATTTCAATTAAATATACTAAATCTTAATTTTTATTAATTATAAATGGTCCATAAGATCCTAGTTAGTCATATATTTATCCTAGTTTACTCCAATATTTATTTCATAATTATTTTCGTCATTTAGTTAATTATTTACTAAATGTGTATAAATTGACCCAATTACCATTAAATCAATTAAAAATAGCTAAAAATATTATTTTCCAATTCTGGTTGGTCCCAATATGTATATTTATACTAGGTATTTAATTTATATTTTTTCCAGATTTTATTTATTTTATTTACTATTTTATTTCTAATGTTTATTGCAACTGGGCCGAACTGGCCCAAATTTAATTAAAAGAGCCCGGCCCAAAGTTTAGTAAAAACATAACAACAACAGTATGTTCATCTTCTTCGTCTTTGCTGGAAACGAGAGAAAGAGAAGAAGAAAAAAAAACGCAGGTAACTGACTTACCTCTAGTGGACGACGGACAGCGACATGGCGGTAGCGGACGACGGCGGTGACGCAGAACCAGATTCCCCCCTGCTCCAGTTCGTGGAAATACGGCGCATTCGAAATGGAACTCCGGCGATGCAGCTCATGTTCGGCCAACGTGTGCAGGAGCAGGGTGTGGGCCGGTGGCGACTCATGGCGACTCTTGCAGTGGCTTCACTCGGACACAGTAGCGTCTTCCCCCTGAGATCGACGGCAGCGGTCTGAACGACAATGGCTTCACCTTCTCCGTCGTGAAATCCTGCCGACTGTCCGGCACAACAACGTGATCTTTTCTCCGGCGTCCAGTGGCGTCAAGAGGCAGTTTCCCACGCTCTCGGAGACGACGACAGTTCCCGCTCCCACCTCCTATGACCCGTCCTCAACGATGAAAGTAACAATGATCTCCGGCAGTCCGGCTCCTTTTCCGGTGACTGGTTCGGCACCTTGACTGCCTAGTACGGTGGTTTCCGACGCCCGTGACCTTGACCCACTTCACTCCTCTCTCACTCACCGTGATTATCTACATTCTTGATTATGATTTCTATCCTTTTGATGTGTTGCACCAATCGGTCATATGTATGTAGTTACGTATGATATATGGGTTCATTCATATGTTGGTGTACGGCGTATGACTTATGTATATATAGTAAATTACATACGTATAGTATAGGTATTATAGTAGGAGTATTATTCGAAGTTACGTAGTTAGAGTCATAATAGGAGTATAGTATATATATATATACTTAGTTTACGTAGGTTTAGTACGTAGGTATATTTTATGCATTAGGAGTGTATTAGTATTATTAGAAAAGTCAAGTTTGTATTTTGTGTATTTTGATTAAAATATAACTTTTACTTCTTATGTCATATGTATAATTGGTACTTGATATAAAATGTTATTTCTTTTATCGGACCACTTTTATCAGACTAAAAATGTCACAAATGTTAATTTTTCTGTCTAGTTTACTTGTTTATTAAAATGTTGTTCCTATTACTGAAATATTTTTATCTGACTAAAACGTCATAAATTTTGAAATTTTATCTATTTAGAATTTTACAACTGTTGAATTTTTGTCTGACTCAATTAATAATTAAAATGTTATTTTCGTAATATTTTATCTGACTAAAAATTATTTTTATTTTTATTTAGATTTTTGAAGTGTCACAGTGTCCCTCTGTGATTCCCAGCTTTCTAATATGGCTGAAATGGCTTCACAGAGGTTATCAAGAATAGAAGAAGAGGCAAGAAATCATGTGGAAACTAAGAAAAGAAAATTCTTTGCGGACATACTTAATGCAGCACGCGAACTCCAACTGCATGTACAGGCAGTTCAAAAGCGTCGAAAACAAAGATATGATGGTATCCAGGTATTTGCTTGCTTCCTACTACTCTTATGGTCCAGCATAATTAAAAAGGTTGTATCTGTAAGATCCGGTGATTGATACTTCAGTCTAACCATTACAGGCATGGCATGGAAGGCAAAGACAACGAGCTACGCGAGCAGAAAAGTTGAGGTTCCAGGCGCTTAAAGCTGATGATCAAGAAGCATATATGAAAATGGTTGATGAGAGCAAGAATGAGCGGTTGAGATTGCTTTTGCAAAACACCAATGATCTTCTTGGCCGTCTGGGAGCTGCTGTCCAACGGCAAAAAGATGCTGATCATGATGGTATTGAACCTTTAGAAGGTCCAGGTTCTGGTTTGCAAGAGTTGACTGCATCAAAAACTGGTACTCCTGGACTGTCAGCCCCCGAGGAGAATGAGGATGTTGATAATGAAGCTACTTGTGACACAAAGACAAATGATTTACTCGAAGGACAACGGAAATATAATTCAGCAGTGCATTCAATCCAGGAAAAGGTAAATATTTTGTGCTAGTTTCCTTTTGCTTATGGCTTATCACTTTTACTTTTTTGTAGGTCTCCCGTTGATGCATTATGTTGTACCATTAATTTCATTTTATTTTCTACCTTCATTTGAGTGGGATGGGATCATATAATGGTTTAAGGCATCTCCACTTGCAATAAAGAGTTCCCCATTGTCAATTTACGTTTTTTTAACATCCCTTTCTGTTAAGAAACAGATAGCATGTTCAAATTTGAACATTTTCCAACACATGCAATTGTTTGAACTTCGATTTCTTCGTTTACATAGACACACCAATGTGAACTTTGTTTAATTGCTTGGTTCATTTCATGGGGAAACTCTCACCCCCTTAGGTTTTGAAAAGTGTAAACTAGTTACCCCGTTACCTTTGACTCTGTTAACAACTGCCCCTCTTACACATTCTAAACTCATTTTGTGACATGTTTCCTATTATTTTCAATTCATCATCATCATCATCATCATCATCATCATCATCATTACCCATTGCCGCAAAGTCTCCCACCTACGGTGGAGTAAGGGGGGTCAGATGTCCACAGTCTTATCCCTGCACTAAAGCACACAACGACTATTTCCGGATGACCCATAGTGAAAATCGCGTCGAAAATTTTATGGACTGACAGATCACTGGTTCTTCATAACAAACAATTGCAGATAGTTTAGTGAACCATTTTGCAAATGATGGAGCCATCTTCAATTAAGAAAATAATTTTTAATTTAATTTTCGTGTGTTGTGTGTGTATAGTTTGTTACGACCATAACCATCTTGATATATGGTACGGATGTTAGGAACATTATAAATAATTGCTTATGTTTTATATTAGTTCCTTCTGCTCAGAATCAATGACCCCCTTTGTCCAAATTTAGTGATCCTTTCCTTTTCAGTTTGCCCCAAAATAATGTCCACATTTCGAATTTGAATATAACTAACTTTTTACTTTTCCCAACTAGCCCTTCCTCTCTTTTTACCTTTTTGAAATGACTTGACATAATTGGTCCCACTTCAGGGCTAATTTAGAAAGCGAAGCACATTTTTACTTGTTATCATAATAAACAGTAAACATAACGTGCCTTATAATTTGGCATAGGTGGAGGAGTATAATGCAATGATTATTGGAATTAATGTTATTATTATTGTAGACTGTACCTTGAGGATTTTTGAACTGTTCATGATTATTCACATTACATGATCAATTTTAGTCTATTTAGTGCAGTGTTGTCAATCCCGTATAGCGGCCTACCACAAAAATGCTATAGCGGATAGCGGATAGCGTGATGACCGCTATTCATACAGCTCTTGTGTAGAACACATAATAATATTAATGCAGGCAATTGCATATTTACATTACATACATACATGAGTCATGACATCCATAAAGTGATAAGTATTACTTATTCTCAATGTTCATCATATTTATATACCCTAAATTACCAATAAAAAGCCATTAGTCTTGGATTTTTTTATCACATGTGACATTCTTGTCTTTTAAATCTTTCAAACTATTCCACCACCAAGAAAGGTCAAGATTATCTCCTGTAAGCTTTTGCATGCTCCTGACTGAGACTTAGAAGAGCGGAAAAGATGAAAGTATAAGAAGAAGAGAAGTTGGAGAAGAACGTAATTAGAGGCTGAGTTGCGATAGTAGTCGTTGAAGAACCAGAGAAGCAAAGAGATATTCTTTTAAGCTTGGGATGAGTTTTATGAGTTATAAAGGTTTTACTATTGTTACTTTTTATTTTATAAATCCTACATTACCCCTTTAAAATTGAAAATCCAAAAATACCAGAAGTTATGGTGTTAAGATAATGCAAATTTCAGTAGTGCCACTATAGCGTCCGCAACAACCGCTATTGCGCCTGCTATAGCAGCCTCTTTTACCGCAATAGCCAACCGCTCCGCTACATAGAGTCTTCTTGTGCCAGGCTATGCCCACCGATATTGCGCACTATTGACATCACTGATTTAGTGTAGAGAACCTTTAGCCATTCAATGACACAAATGGCTTAATGGAACTGACTCAAGTATAATGCAAAAATCTCAATGTCGCGTTTTGTAACATACAGACCATAAATCTTCATAATCGTCACGTAACAGACACAATATCATTCTATGATAGTTATTCAACCATAATGGAAGGTATTCATATGCAACAATAACAACCAGGACCACACTGATTACATGACATAAATCTTCATAATCGTCGCGTAGCAGACACAATATCATTCTATGATAGTTATTCAACCATAATGGAAGGTATTCTACTAACCAGTATTATGAAAAATACTCGTTAGGATACTTAATTTGACAAAAACTTGGGGTACCGAATTTCCATTTTTCAATAAGCGCAAAGGTAAGTGGCGGCAAGATTATAATTGTGTCAGAATGAAAAGGTGGATGGAAGTAAGTCGTGACGGTGTTACTGAAGGTAGTAGAGGTAGGTTCTAGCTAGCTAGGAAATTCTTCTACTCAAACTAGTATTACCCTTGTGAAGTTGGAACATGTTATTTTCACTTGTGTTTTGTGGATTTAGGATATATCATTTTTTTACTAGAAACTCTATTTTGTTGTTGTTCATTGGGTTCTGATATTTTGTAGTTGTGAACTGTCTTTCTGATGAGGGATTGTGCTTTCACCTAGGGCTAGGATGGCAAACAAATCAAACCGATTCAATTATTCAAATCAAGTTGTCTATCATTAACTTTTATTTTATTTAATAACCATATATACACATATGCTTATATTTTTTTTTTCAAATAAGAAACATATTCTTATCCATATTGTTAAAATCATCGAATATTCCTAAATCAACTCGAATATCAACACTAAAAGTTAAATACACTTCTAAAATTTTCATTTCAAAATTTTGTTCATATGTGAAGCCTTGGTGCTCTAGTTAAGGCGTTGTGTGTCTGAGAGCTCACCTGTTCAAGTCTTGAGAGCGGTCTCTTGTTAAAATGACAAGGGAAATCTTGCCCCTTATACACCCTTGTGGTGGAACTCTTCCCCAGACCCTCACCTTGCGGGGATGACAATGTGCACCATGCTGCCCTTATATGTAAGATAGAGCTCGCACAAACGTTATTTTAATAGATCCTCTCCATTTACTACGTTATAATACGTATATTTATGCTAATGGAGTTGGTAATATCATTTTGAATATAAATAAATTTTCAGGTAACAGTGCAACCAACCATGCTTCAGGGTGGAGAATTAAGACCTTACCAGATAGAAGGGCTTCAATGGATGGTGTCTCTGTTCAATAACAATCTTAATGGAATTTTAGCAGATGAAATGGGGCTGGGGAAGACAATTCAAACTATTTCTCTTATTGCACATCTAATAGAAAACAAGAGTGTGACTGGCCCGCACTTGATTGTGGCCCCAAAAGCTGTACTGCCAAATTGGATGAGTGAATTTCAAACATGGGCACCTAGGTATGGACTATGGATACAATATATTCTCTGAAATGCTGTAGAGTATGGTGTTAACGTGCCCTAAATTTCTTTTTTTGCAGCATCATTGCTGTTCTTTATGATGGGCGGCTAGAGGAAAGGAAAGCATTGAGGGAAGAGTACTCTGGGGAGGGGAAATTTAATGTGATAATAACCCATTATGATCTTATCATGAGAGATAAAGCATTTTTGAAGAAAATTCACTGGTACTACTTGATTATTGATGAAGGACATAGGTTGAAAAATCATGAATGTGCTCTTGCACGGACTGTCGCAGGGTATGTTCGATAAGAAACTTCTTTCTTGTTTAAGAAATCTGAGCTTAATATTTGCTGCATTCAGCTCATGTTGACCCCCCAAGTACTTCTAGCCTATAGTGAATTGGAATTTGTAATTTCTGCAGCTACCGAATCAAGCGGAGACTTCTATTGACTGGTACCCCAATTCAAAATAGCTTACAGGAATTATGATCACTTCTTAATTTTCTCCTACCAAACATATTTAATTCTGTGGAGAACTTCGAGGACTGGTTTAATGCGCCTTTCTCGGATAAATGTGATATCACTCTAACAGATGAAGAAGAGCTATTAATTATTCGACGTTTGCACCATGTAGGTTTTCCTTGGATTTACTTGTAATTACACTCTTCTTCAATGTGCCTTTTTTGTTCATACTTTATTTTCTTATTCCCAGGTTATTAGGCCATTCATATTACGGAGGAAGAAAGATGAAGTGGAGAAGTTCCTTCCTGGGAAAACACAGGTTATCCTGAAATGCGACATGTCAGCTTGGCAGAAATTATACTATCGCCAAGTTACAGATGAAGGGAGGGTAGGACTGGGTACTGGTAAGTATTATCTGCTTTTAATATTGTTTGTATGTGTGTGCACTTATATTCCAACATATGAATAGGTCTCAAGTCTTTAGGTATTAAATATGCATGTGGGCTTCAGAGGTTTTGATACAGTATATGCCTGACCATCATCGGGCTTGGAGTTTTTTTTGGAGAAATTCGATCAACTGCATAGAACATTAAAAAATATATTTCATAAATTTTATGGCCATTAACAGTAGGGTTTTCTCCGGACCCTCTCCTCGCGGGGACATAACATTAGGCTTTTTTATAACAGTAGGCTTTTCTGTGATTGAGCAAAACCACAAGTACATAACCTAAATTCAACCGGCAAACCAAACAACTGATGTCTTATACAAAATCATAACCATTGACAGACTAACATTTTTTTGTTCGGTTCTGTCTTAGTTTTGTCAGTTTACTTGTTTATTTATTGATTTATTCATCCCTACCTCCTGCTCGGCTGCACCTCTAGTAAGTTTTTGGTAAAAAATTGTGTACTCTGAACTTCTGAAGACCTTTATGGAAGGAAAATAAGAGATTTTGTTTAAATATTGCATACATGCTTTTGGATTTGCGTTATCATCTTGGGGTGAGAACTGAGCTGCTGTACCATGTCAGTGGTTATACTGATTTATAACAAGAAATAGAAATATAAAAACCTAAAGGCCTTGATGAGAAAAAAAAGATAGTTGGTTAGAATAAATGCGTACATGACATGCTTTTGGATTTGTTCTATCATATAAATAAATGCTTGAGGTGAGAACTGAACTAATATAATATCATGTTAGTGGTTATACCGATTTTTCAGAAATGAAAGAAATATAAAAACTCGATTGAATTGAACATACGCAATCCACCTACTTTATTTTTGCAACAGAAAAGAGCTTCACCTACTCAATATTCAAATTTCTCGATGAATTTCATATTCGCCATTGAATGCATCTCCCTCTGCAACGAATTATCTTTTTCAAAGATTGTAGATCCCAACAAAGAAAAGGGGATGTGTCTCCCTGTTATAATAAGCTACAAACTACCACTTGTGTGATATTCAAATATGCAGGAACTGGAAAATCCAAAAGCTTGCAGAACTTGTCTATGCAACTCAGGAAATGTTGCAATCACCCTTACCTCTTTGTGAATCAGTATAATATGTGGCAAAAGGAGGAAATCGTGAGAGCATCTGGGAAAATGGAGCTTCTTGACCGCTTACTTCCCAAACTCCGTAGAGCTGGACATAGGGTCCTCCTTTTCTCACAGATGACCCGTCTCATGGACATTCTTGAAATCTATTTGCAACTGAACGAATATAAGTATCTTAGACTTGATGGCGCAACAAAAACAGAGGAAAGAGGTTCTTTGGTGAGACAATTCAATGCCCCAGATTCCCCTTACTTCATGTTTCTCCTTAGTACCCGTGCTGGTGGACTTGGCCTGAATCTACAGACAGCAGATACTGTGATAACCTTTGACAGTGATTGGAACCCTCAAATGGACCAACAGGCAGAAGATCGAGCACATCGGATTGGTCAAACGAAAGAAGTCATGGTATTTGTTTTGGTTAGTGTAGGATCAATTGAAGAGGTCATCTTGGAGCGCGCAAAACAGAAGATGGGCATTGATGCTAAGGTCATCCAGGCAGGGCTGTTCAATACAACTTCCACTGGTTTGTTTGTCTTCTATGATTTATAATTATGACTGATTGAACTTTTCTCCCTAACACAGATGGTTATTTGACTTCTTTTTAGAGGCTTCTTCCCTAATAGTTAATAAAATAAAACTCATTGACACTGGCTATAGTCACTGTGAAAATACCATGACCACTGCAGTATAAAACTGACACATTAGTGACATTACTACCACCAGTCACTGAGGAAATACAAAGTCAGTGCTTATTAAAACTCACTTTTTCATCCATTATGTTTTACTTAAGTCACATATTCCTTCCGCCTCACAAAAATATTGCCAGTTTACTATTTATGTGGTCAACATTATTTGTTTATGTTCTCTAATTTCAGTATCAAATTTTTATCATATTTATTTTGTTTTTTGCGTTTCAGAAAAAATTCATAATAAGTATTAATACTAATTTAAATGTTGTTAGATACTCCCTCTGTCCCGCAAAATAGTTCCCACTTTCATTTTTGGGCTTTCCCAAAAAATTGTTTCCATTCCCTTTTTGGAAAGTTTTGTTTGACTACCATTCATTTACCTTTTTCTTACTCAACCACAGCAATACATTTTCACTTTATTCCCAATTTCTTAAACTCCGATCCAAGTCAAACCTTGAACTATTTTGCGGGACGGAGGGAGTAGAATTTAACGTTATAATCAGTCAAACTATGTAAACTCTAAATGGTGGAGTCTTAAGGGATGGGGTAGTATATGTCATTACTTTCTTTTTATTGACAGCGTCTTTGATACTTATTGTGCAGCTCAAGACAGGAGAGAACTGTTAGAAGAGATCATGCGTAGAGGTACCAGCACTCTTGGGACTGATGTGCCTACGGAGAGAGATTAATAATCTTGCAGCACGGTCAACAGAGGAATTTTGGCTCTTTGAGAAGATGGATGAGGAGAGAAGGCAAAAGGAGCGTTACCGGTCTCGTCTCATGGAAGATCATGAGGTTCCAGATTGGGCTTATGTTCAAGCCGATTCCAACCAAGGAAAAGGAAAAGGATTTCTACATGACAGTGCCAATGTAAACGGAAAAAGGAAAAGAAAAGAGGTTGTGTATATTGACACACTGAGTGATCAACAGTGGATGAAGGCTGTGGAGGATGGGGAAGAATTTCTGAAGCATGCTTCTGGAAAGAAGAGGCGGCAGCAGGAGCATCAGAAGCCCAATGCCGCTGCTGCAGACGATTCATTACCTACTAACACGCTGAGGGAGCATGAAGAGCAGCAGGCTGATGTGCCTCTGCCTCCTACAAATAAATGGAGCGAGCAACAACGGCCACCTACCCCACCTTGTGATACGCCTCTTAGTATTAGTTCCAGAGGGGAGGGAGGGGAGAGGGCTCGTGAGGTGAAAAGTGAAACTGCTTCACTGGCAAACGAAGAGGGAGCAACAACAAGTGAAGACACTATTGGAACAATGTCTCCAGAAAGGTACAAACCAGTAGTAGCTCCCCCACCGTCACAGAGGAGTGACTATAACAGTTTGACTTGTAATTTAGGTGGACCAACATGGAAGGCGCTCAAGAGAAGGAGATCCAGCTTGGCATAATGAATGTTACTTTTCGTTACAGATATACTGTTGGAAGAGGGCCATACGGTGCAGATGAAAGAAATGACAACCTTCCTGGTTGCTGGCTGCTATTGGTTAATTTGGGCAGCCTATCAGGCTTAGTAGTCCAAGATGAGCAAATCTGGTAGTCCAAGAAAACAAGGCAAATCCTGATTGTTATCTCAACACCCCAGCTAAACCTTCACCTTGTTCTACTTTTGCAAACAAAATGTATTTTTGCTGCGGTTCCATTTTATATCTTGCCTGTCATTTTGGTTTGTCCCACAAGGCCACGATGATGTCCTTTTTCTAAATTTACAATTTTGTCTCTAATTTATACCCTTTATTGTGTGATATTAACAACTATTTGTACAAGTTCTTACAATAGTTATGCACCATTTAGGAGGTAAAATTTGCACCAATATTTTTGGAGGAATGGAATAACTTGTTGCCAAATTTAGTAAATCTATTCCCTTTGAAGACTCTGGCACCTTGGGCCCGGAGCATAATGCTTCAGCTATGAGTAGGGGTGGACCGGTTCCGGTTCGGGCCCGGTTCGGACCTGGGCCCGGCCGGGCCGGGTAACCCCGGGTCTGGTCCGGGCCTCGGTTCATGTAATTTTTTTTGGCTTTTCCTAGTTAACCCCCAACCCTCCCCCTCACCCCAAACCACCCCAAACCACCACAAATGGCCCATCATACCCAGCCCAACCCAAAAACTTAAAATAAATTCAAAAAAAAAAGAAATAAATAAATAAATTGGCCTGGACTGGGCCTGAACCGGACGGGCCGGTTCACTATTTAGCAGGCCCGGGCCCGAACCGCCTACCTCACCGGGCTCTAATTGTTACCAAACGGCTCTAATTGTTCTAAGTTACGCTGTTACATACTACTACTTTCGTCCCACTAACAATGAGACAAGAGGGAGTAACACACAAATCAATAAAAAATGTTTTATGTGATTTGTTATTGAATTGAAAAAAATAGAGTAAAGAAAGATTTAGAGTCGCACAAATTTTACCAAATTTGGTATGAAACAATCTTATTAGGATGGACCAAAAAGGTACAATGGAACACTCTTTAGAAATTGCCCTAAATAGGAGTAAAAACGCTTTGAAATTCCAAAATAGAAGTATCATGTTTTTATTCCTTGAATATGAGTAATCTGCCAAGTTTGAAAAAAAATGTCATGTTTAAAAGCCTAGTAATGTCATTTGGCAGAAATTTACCCCTATTTAAGGAATAAAAAACAAGATAGTCCTATTTTGGAATTTAAAAACTTTTTTACTCCTATATAGGTAATTTACTCAACAATCTTATATGGAGGGAGTATATAACAATAAGTTAGAAATGGGCTTTTCCATATATTGCCCCAACCTAAAATCTATGTTGTAAAAACCGGACTAGGGAGCAACCCGGACGGATGATCGGGTCACGGGTCAACTCGGAACCGGCGAGTCAACCCGTTTTTTTTCCGGTTTTTGGTACATTTGCGGTTTATTGAACAACCGGATCGGGTAGGAGGACGGTTCACCGGTTTCCAGGCTGAACTGCCAGGTCCGATTTATTAAACACAGCCTAAAACAACAAAAGAACGAGTCAACAGGCCTTTTGACTGGTTCACTTTGGTTCCCGCGTTATTTCCTACTCTTCTCCACTCAGGAGTCAGGACTACTCAGTCCCTTGAGACCTTATTAATGAATAAACTAGTATCTGTATTCTTCCACAGCTCAATAACTAATTAATTTAAACTACCCTTTCAATTCAAATACCCCTGCAGAAAATCCCAACTAGCTCAGCAGTTACTTCAGCCATGTCTTCTTCCATATTACCACCCTTCTTCTACTCTCTCTTCATCATCATCCTTCCTCTCTTCGTTTCCCTTTCCAATTGCCAACCCCCTAGACGTAATAATTCCATCACTTTTCTATGAATTCCATCTCATATATCGTTTCTTATTTTCCCATAGCTGAACACATAAAGTTTTCATTTTTTGTTTATTCGACAGGAGTTCGAATCAACTGTGGCGCTGGTGTTAGCTCAGTGATCGACGGCAAAGAATGGTCGCCGGACGGCGACTACATCGCCGTGGGGACCCCAAAGAACGTACCTTTCCCGCCGCCCGTTCGGGACCCCAGATTCTTGACTGCCCGTACGTTCCCTCTCCTGAACAACAGATTCAAGAAATTCTGTTACACTGTCCCTGTTTTTCGGGGAGGGAAATATCTGGTCCGTACGGCGTATTTCTACGGCGGAGTCAACGGGCATCGGGTGGCCCCGGTGTTTGATCAGATTGTGGATGGTACTCTGTGGAGTGTTGTGAATATAACAAAGGAGGATGAAGAGGGGGGTTACATTAATAATCAAAATGGATCGATGATAAGGCCAAAGTACTATGAAGGGGTGTTTTTAGCTGGGGATAAGACTATGAAGGTGTGTTTGGGAGACAATAACTATACTGAATCCGACCCTTTTATATCAGCCCTGGAAATTTTGTTGGTGTGGGATTCTTTATACAATTCTACTGATTTCAGCAAGTATGCTCTTAGTCTCCATGCAAGGCACAACTTTGGATACAATGGGTCAACCATTAGGTACTTTAATCATTTCCCACTGGCTCAATCTATTTAATCTAACTCAACTTTAATTTGTTAATTGTATTAAGTCATCTCATACCGGTTGCATATAAAAAATTCAATTTTAACATATAAAGTATCACACTGACAATGTATAAAACTATAATCTAACATATAAAGTCGGGTTAGTGTATTGTATTGTATTGACACATACAAATACGTAGTACAATCTATAATACTTCGTATATGAAGTCTCAAGCTATTCTTTTGGAACCTCAAATCTTAATATATTTTATGTAATGTTGGAAATGTTTGACATATCCAAGGTTTTGAGCTTCTTTTCTAGCAGTAGTTTCAACTGGTTATAAACTCAGAATCATTGCCCACTTTATTTAACTATATGGCAGTTTGCTTCCATTTTGCCAGATACCCTGATGATGAATTTGATCGTTACTGGGAGCCGTTTGGAGAACACTCTCCTTCACAAAACTTAAGCAGTGTTTCTATATCCGGTTTCTGGAATCGTCCCCCTCTGAAAGTATTTGAGACGCGTTATGAAAACAGAAAGCCCGAACCGATGCAATTGTTGTGGCCTCCAATGCCGCTGCTGAATGCTACATATCACATTGCTCTTTACTTTGCGAATGATCGAGATTCTGTTTCAGACAGAGTTTTCAACATAAGCTTGAATGGCTTAGTTTATTACCCTAATCTTAATGTCACTCCTTCTGGTGTAGTGGTCTTCACAAACCAGTGGCTTCTCTCTGGCATTACAAATATAACTCTGAACCCTACCCCTGGTTCAAGTGTTGGCCCTGTCATCAATGCAGGAGAGATTTTTCAAGTGCTACCTGTTGGTGGAAAAACACACACTAGAGATGGTAAGTGTATATAATGTAACTAGATAGAAATTTTACCTGCAAAGGTTGTTGCTCATAAATCATCACATTAGGTTTAGCCCTGTATATCTTCACTTTCAACAAACAACACAGGTCAAAATAGTCTTTGAACTACTCTTGGTAGATTAGAAACTAAGTTTATAGAGATTGTAAGATGTTTTGAGAGTTCTTATTGAAAGCTTGTAAGAGTGTCTTTCTATTCTTGAAAATAAAGAAATGTGTCTCTCAAATAAGTTCATTTATGATTTATGATCACTCATTACCTACATAAACTTTTCTTAAATATGTTGGGTATTTCTTGCTTGGTCTTCTCATCATCTCATGAGTTTTGACCCCGTTCTTGTGAATGAGTCTATCATCATCACCACGGTAAATTCCTTAGAATACGTTGTCAGGTGCAATAGAAGTCTAAAATTTTAAAAAATAAGAGGGGTTCAATATGAGTTTTTTGGGAGGTGTCCAAAAATGTATCCGTATATGATCTGTAATCTGGAGTTAAGTTAATGTTTACTACCTAGCATATGTTGAAACACGTGAGATGAAATTAAAGTGTAAATTATATTTTATAACATTACTTAATACCATAATAAATTAATGCCAAAAACTACTGCCCAAATTGATAAATACGTAGTATATGTTTTCTTTTTTTGCATGCATGATGCATTTGTGTCATTCCTGGTGTTTTTAATTATACGGTCAGTTTTCTGGATAACATGGATATTATTGATCATTTGACCCTTTTTCATTTAGTGGCTGCTTTGGAAGGGGTAAAGAGAAGTTTCAAAAATCCTCCACTGGATTGGAATGGTGATCCATGTCTCCCCCCTCAGTACCCATGGACTGGAGTTGTGTGCTCTGGAGAATCCCGGATTCGTGTCATAGCTTTGTAAGTAAGTTTTGATGATTCTAAGGCTCTTGAACCCTTCTCATACCCTAAAAAATCAAGAAAAGTAAATTAATTCAGGAATTACTGGTTTTTTTAGTATGCATCATATGTGTCAGAGTTCCATATTTGACAATTAAATAGAAAATGATGAGTTATAAAGATTTTGTGTTGAAGTTGCTAGCTAATGGATTAAGTGATCACAATCCAATTCTAATAACCTAAAGATATCAATGTACTTTGCATGCTTCTTTGCAGAAACCTGACAAGGATGGACCTGTCTGGAACAATTTCGCCAAACATTGCCAACTTGTCTGCGCTGAGTGGCATGTAGGTGAAAAACATACTTTTATTACTCATAATTTAACACATTAGTGCTATAACTACTGAAAATGTGTCACTTTTATCAGCTGGCTTGGAAACAATAATTTGTCTGGAGTCATCCCAGATTTATCTTCTTTGAAGAGACTGGAAACGTTGTAAGTCTAGAGCAGTTTATTCTTTTATTATGTGTAACAGAACTTGCAATAGATAAATGATTTTACACAAATATGCTAATAGAATATAAATCCAAGTCTAACCTTGCAATAAAATTTAGGTTTCAATGTTGGATAAGGAAAATATTCATGGATATAAAGTTTTTTGTAGTAAAAAACTTCATTAAATTCTTTTCCCCTCCAAACTTGTGGTTTGCCTGGTTGGCCAAAGTCTAGCTATGGCAATGCTTGCCATTGTTTTTTCCTGTACTGATATCTGGAATTCAATTTAGACATTTAGAAGACAATCGGCTTGGTGGTGATATTTTGCCATCACTTGGGAGCATTGATAACCTCCATGAACTGTAAGTCCTACTATCACATTAGAATATAGAGTGTACTGGTCAGGAATTTGCATACCACAGATGATTATTTAATTAAAGTATTTAAAACTTCCACTTTAGTACTAAGATTTGATCATTTGCAAGTTCTTGAAATATATGTGAATATTCTGACAAGTCTTTGTATAATTGTATGTACTACTTGATTGCAGGTTCTTACAAAACAACAATCTCACTGGAAAAATACCAGACAAGGTTCTTGAAAAACCGGGAATGAACATTAGGTAATTCTCGAATGACGTTTGAATTCTCGATTGCTAGTTTTTGGGCATCAGTGGTTTACCATTCCTGCATTTTCATTTTGTTGTGGTTTTTATTCAGGACATCTCCTGGGAATCCATTATTATCTCAACCACCAATATGAAGAAGTGGATAAGTTGAAGAAACTCTATAGACTATATATACAGAGCATATAAAAAAGCAGTAATAGGTGTCATTCTTATGTTGTACATATATCCATTGCGTGAAAATTATGTAACTCTTTCAACATTCTCATATACAATCTCACTCACTTTGATGTCTCATTTTTTGGGAAATTCTTCTAAATCTATTATAGTATTTGTTTATGATAATGTCAACATCCTTGATTTGAATGAGACCCGAACCTGCGACCTCCTCTTTGAAAGATCAGCAGTGACGTTATCAGACCACAAGTTACTTGGAACTTTGGTGTCTCATTTTGATATCTCCTAGGGATTTTTTAATTGAAGATCACACATTATTTTTTTATCCTCCCCTAGGAAGTTTTTTTTTTGGTGCAAATTATGGATGGCGATCCTACAGCCTTTCGAACCGAATCACCACTTCACGAGGACATGATTTTGAAAAACGTACCCAGGTACCCGCACGGGTAGCTCAGTTGGTCGAGTGGTGGGAGATTTGGAACAATGGACCAAGGTTTGAATCCCAGCAGCGATCGGGTGGAGGTAACAGAACCTGAAATAAGGCTGGGCCTCTGGTGCACACGGGTGTATGGGCCTACTGCCATTCTGCCGACTGAGTCACCGTGACCAACCTCCCCACCATCCTGTCAGGTCGGGGTGGGGGGCTCCTGGGGTGGGAGATTCCACCTTTTGGAACAATGAAAAACGTACCCAGGTATCATTTACTGAACTTTGCTCTGTTTAGTGGAATGTGACAATGACTCGATTTTGAGTAATAAATGGGTCAGCTAAACTATTATTCAGGAAGAAAAGAATAAAAAATGATATTTGTACGCACAGATAAAATATTGTCTATGAATCAGGTTCACAGATAAAAAAAGCTTCGCAAACATGGTGGGTATAAAGTGGGTATAAGGGTGGGTACGTCAAACATTGTTGGGCCAGAGAGGGCCAGACTCACACTAAAAAAGTTAATAGTATATATATTCTAGTGAACGCTGATTGTAATCTAGGTTGTAAAATTTAAGTTTGAATGTTAGATACAAAATACGTCATTTAATTAAATTTTGGCCCCTATTTTAAAAAAATGGCCCCACTTGAGCGTGAACGCTGAATCGGCCCATGATATGTAAACTTGTTATTTATGGGGAGATTTGGTAGTCCCTATAACTTTCGATTGTGCCACTATTAGTAGTGTATCTTTCGAAGTTTCATAATGATTTTCTCTTTATCATCTTATTTTGGGAAAATAGAAAAAGACTAGATAGTGTTATTTGGACTTTTGGAGGACATTGCATGTTCTACCAGTTGGCTATTTTTGCCGTTACCTGAATATGCAATAGGCACTTCCTCTGGAAAAAGATGTTACTTGTCTACTAGTATCGATTTAACTGTCATATTACAACAAACATATCATTGCACTAGCATCAATTTAAGTGTTCTATTACCTTTTATTCATCATCAGCCAAACCTAAATTGTTAAGAGCTATGCTAAAGGTACCCCAAAGTTGTACCCCATTTTTACCCCACTCCTGATGTATGACCATAAATGGGGCAACTCATTTAAGTGGGGCACCACTTAAATGAGTTGCTCCATTACAGAATAGGCTGCTTGCCCGAAGTTCTCTTCTTATTTCTGAAAATTTTTCACTTTAAAACTCAATTTTATGTTTTATTCTTGTGTCATTGAATCTGGTCTGATTTAGTAAAAATACATTATAATATGTACTTTACGTGATATATCACTGAATCAAGTTTTTGTTTGATGTGTTCTAGACTATTTAAGTCTAACCTTATGTGATCCGAGATAAGTTGAGATTGAAAATATTTCAAGTGAATACATCACACTTGCTTACATTATTGTCAATAGTAATCTGGTTTAGGAAAGAGCAGATTCAACCGAGTGAAATACTTGGATAACATTAGTTTTAACTTTTTAGGTTTTGTCTTACATTTGTTCCGATAATATGGTTTCTAAACAGTGGCGAAGATAGAAATATCAAGTTAGACGGTCAGGATTTAAACAATTTATATTAGGGAGGAGTCAAAACTTAAAATTTCAGTATACCTTTTACTAGTTAACGAGCCAAGCTCGAATACCCAGAGCTCAAGTTCGGTTCGATTTGGTAATAGTGGTGTTCGCGTTCGAGCTTGAAGCTCGACGAGCTTTATAAATGAGGCTTGTATTTGGCTCGATCGGTGTTCGATGTTCGAATCACGGGCTCGAGAAGCTCGATAAATACGCTCAAATTTAAAATTGTATGTGATTCTTGTGTTAATAAGCTCATGCTTGGATTATTAGACAAGTATTCGGTTCATTAATAATCACATTTAAATTTTGACATATATGTAAATTATATCTATAAAAGTTGGCATACTAGCCGACTGGAAAGAGTGCTACACGGTCTGCTCTTTGGTCAAGGGTTCGAATCTTCCCAGCTCCAACCCTGTTGATTTACATTGCCGACCTCAATATCTTTTGAGACTAAGATTTGGATGTTGTTGTTGTTGATGTAAATTATATCTATAATTTCAGGATGTTAGATAGTCTCGAGCTTGAACCGAGCTAAATACTACTATGTTCAAGCTCAGCTCGATTAATTGTTCGAACTTAAAATTCTGCTCGGGTTCATGTTCGAAAACTCGTTAAGCTCGACTCGTTGGTTCAAAATTGAGCCCAAACTCGAATAGTTCGATAAAAGCTCGATTCATTAACAACTCTATCTAGATCCCCTTCAGCGCTTTCCCTGTCACCATTAATGGTTTTAAAGAAAGAACAGAAATTGCCCAATATAGGAGTAAACATAAACATAATTGCATAAACAGGAGTTAAACTTAAAACTTCCTTCAATAGGACTATAGGAGTAAACATTAATTTTCTACCCTTAATACCCCTAACCAAATTAATTCTAAAGTAGCACTTATTTGATCCTATTAAAATATAAAAAAATCTAAAATATTTTTAAAAAATATTTAAATAAAAAATAAAAACAAAGTAATAATTTAAAAATAAAAACTTTAAAAATAAATAAAAATAGATAAAATACATTAAAAAAAATTAAAAAACTATGGAGGCCTTCCCCGTAGCCTCGGCCACCACCAAGCAATGTCATCTCCAATCGGCGAAGAAATGCTATTTTATGTAAAAACTCCCATTTTTAATTGAAAATGCCTTGAAGACTCTTTGAAAATGCCAATTTTTTTCAAAAACCGCCATCATCATGGCATTTTTAATAAATGTTGGCATTTTTTACGGTGGTTGGAGCTTGTGGTGCTCGGAAGTTGTTGAGGCTACGGTAGAGGCCTACATCTTTTTTTATATATTTTTAATTTTTAATTTTATTTTTTTAGTTTTTTATTTAATATTTTTTATTTTAATAATATTTTATTTTTATTAATTTCATTTAATACGGAGTATATTTTATTTATTATATATTTTCGTCTTTTTATTTTTTTTACAATTCTATTATAAATTAATTAATGTTATTTCTTTAATGCTTTAATTATTAATGAAAGTGGTTGAGACTTGGGGCTTGGGTAGGGTATAGTTGTCCAAACACTAAAGTTACTCCTATTCAAAAATGATACTCTTATTTTTGCATTTTGCGTATGTTTTGAGAGCCGTGCCTTTGTGGAGGCTAGTGAGGCATAAGCCTCAGGGCCTCAAAATTGCAAAAATAATTAGGGGCCCCATATTTTAAAATATTAGTATGTACTCCGTATATTATACATAGTATATGCAATTGAATTCCAAATTGGCTCCCTTCTTTTAACAAAAAATGAATAGGTTACTAGGGGACAAACAATTGAAGAAAGAGGAAAGCAATAGCCGACCTATGGTAGTCATGATTTTCGCCTTATTAGCTTTATCAACCAACTTTTTCACCAAACACGTAATTTTTGATTTCACGCGCTCAACTGTGTAATACTAAGAAAAAGTAATGTTGAACTTATTTTTCTGACTGTGTTGGCTAAAGTTACTGTAGATAATCATTTTAGCTATTTTTCATATAATTTTTTCTTTATTTCATTAATAGAATATATTTTAAATATAATTTCTTCATAAATCAACAGAATCAGTCAATACAACCACTCTAGCTAGAACTTCATAAGTTTCAGCAGAATCAACCAATACAGCTGATTTAGGTATTACCAAACAGACTCTAAATCTATCATACTTTGTTGGATTCTACAAATATTTTAATTTCTTTGTTAGCTGATTAGTTATAATCTCTTGTTCTGATTAAGTCGTGACCTTATCTTGTTTTTTATTTTGTTTGAATCTTCAAAAGTCCGTGAAATAAATTTAGCTATATAATAAGTTTTAATCAAATGTGTTCATGTTGATAAGTATATAGTTATAAAATAGGTAGTAACTATAAATCTGTTTCACGGCATACATGTCATATGCTAGTAAATAATTTAGCTTTAAAAAAGCATATATAGCGTATAATCAAATTGGAACTAACCTAGCTAGTAGTGTTGGGTTTTTATGTTTTATCACACTACTTCACTAAATAAGTGATTGGAGTTCAATTAGTCAAGTTAGATGCTATTTGTTTTTTAGTGAAAATAAAAAATGTAAACTCCAAAATTTCTATCATTATATCAAAATTTAAATGAAGTGTGTAGGGAGTTGTACTTAATTAGTTATGAGAGAATTCTCTAAATAGGAGTAAAAAAGTTTTGAAATTCCAAAATAGGAGTATCACGTTTTTTATTTCTTGAATATGAGTAAATTTATGCCAAGTTTGGTATTACTAGGCTTTAAAACATGACATTTTTTCCAAACTTGACAGATTACTCCTATTCAGGGAATAAAAAACATGATACTCCTATTTTGGAATTTCAAAACGTTTTTGCTCCTATTTAGAGCAATTTCTAATTAGTTATTTGTAACACATTTAATATTTCTATATCATGATGTAAGAATTTTATTTAATAAGTTATTTTCGCAATATTTCAACTCTTACTTCTAAATAAATTTAAAGTAAGACATTTGAACTATATTTCAACTCTTACTTCGTGATGTAACACATTTGAACTATACCGTAGTATGAAGTAGTATACAAAAGCGATTTGTAGGGGTCTTTTATGAAATTCGACTCAGGCTCAAAATTAGGTAAGATCGATACTGTATGTTTTATTCCTATTTGGGAAATAAAATGCATTTTATTGAGATGAACAATCGCTTG